TGGGGGGGGGTATAGCTAGAAATTCTGGGCCCCCTAACCAATGTTTTGCCCAGGAGGGGGGCGGGGGGGGGGGGGGGGGGGTGTTGCCCATGGTAGACTATGCCGTAATTACGTAGAAACACGAAAACAGAAAATACATCAGAAGTAAAGATCAGTAAAACATTTGTCTTTTGTAACTTAAGCCAACGAACCCTGGGCTGGTCCGGTCCAAGCCCCAGGAGAGGACATCTGTCCCCGTCCCCATCTCCTGCCCCAGAGACGGGGCTGACATAATAATAATAACAATAATAATAATAATAATAATAATAATAATAATAATATTTTTAAAATCTACAAGCTGTGATTTCACTTTATGGCTTCAGCAAAAGCTATTGCTGGGCCTGAAGGTAAAACATGTCAGTCAGCTCAGACATGCAGGGGTTAACGGCCGCCTGCTCTCACCTTCAGCTGCTGCTCCGCCTTTACTGGATTCCAGTCATTCTGCCGCAGCGCGTTAGCCACCTCCTCATAGGTCACACCGTGCACCGCCTCCTGCAACTGCTAAACCAATCATACATCACGTCACTCAAAGAGCAATGTACCCACCAATCACAGTCACAGAGTGTGATGCCTTCCTGAAGTAATTCTTCAGAGATCAAGTCACCTAACCCGCTGCAAAAACTGCATGCTAATTTTTAACACCAGGGGAGGGCGAAACTTTATTAGCATTTTAATAGCACTGTGTACAGACATATTGACTGCTTCAGTAAGCCAATCATGTCACAATAAATATAAAGTCATCTGTCCATACTCATAATAGAAACTGAGTTGTCTCTAAATTTGAGGTCAGTCTTCCAGTTTGACTGTACTGGGTATTTCCTGGGACTGTCCACCTGTTCATACACAGACAAATGTGTCCATAGCAAGACTTTTCAGTGTCTGTGATGAAAAACTAGGCAGGCTACGTTTTAAAATACTAAATACTACGGAGGTAAACATTGCACTTTGATCACAGTGCCCATTAGAAATCGCAATGGTGTTGACCCCTGGTCATGTCACATTTTTTGCGTACCGGTTTAACTTTTGTCAGTAAACAATACCAATATGATCGTTCTAAAGCTTGACATTTTCTGATATTTAAAGTAGAATACCAGAGGTTGAACCAGCATCCCAAATACTAACATGACAAATATGATGCTACCATAAACGATAGCACGTTGTGATTATCACTCAACATGGGGACCTCACCTGGGCCATCACAGCAGACCTAACTGGTTGCTCCCTCTCTTTTTCCCTCTTTTCCGCACTCTCGTCCAGCCGTGAGGTGGACTGGCACATGTGACTCATCCTGAGCGCACTGCTGGTGCTCTGGGGCTGCAGCTGCGGTTGTTGCTGCTGTAACGGCTGTGGCAGCTGCTGCGGTTGTGGTTGCAGCCAAGGGCCAGGGCCTTGACTCCCATTGGGCTTCCGACTGTTGGCCTGGTTCTTCGGCCGTAGGAAGTTGGGGAGCGGAGGGCGTGGGGGAGGCGTGATGTTGGCGTCGCTGAACCTCCGGGGGTCCAACATGGACTGGAGCAGTGGTTTGGAAGGAGCTGGGAGCCGAGGGTTGTCAGCCGGAGAGATGCTCAGAACCGTCTCCAGACTTCTCGAGAGGCCTTGTGGGACAGAGAAAACCAGCAGTGTTCAGAAACCCGGGAGGGTGGGGGGATGCGGGCTTATCAGCCACGATGCACAACGGTCTCCCAAGCCTCACCTGCCAGTCTTTGTAAGTTGGACTTCTCCCTGCCTCGGTCCTTAGATGCCCCAGCACTGAGACAGTTTGAAGACCTGCAGAGGTCAAAGGTTACACATAAACAGAGGCAGGCATTCTAGCCTAGGAGTAGAATTAACTCAACACAGTAAGTGTTACAGAGTGAAATTAAGATTTAGAGTATAGGTAAGGGTTAACCTCATAGCACATTTTGATCCCATTCATTTTTAATTGTGTTCTACTTACGGAATTTTAAACAACCTTATTCAAAATTAAAGATTATAATAGCGTATTGATTTACTACTGCGATTCGCTTGGCTGGCACTATGTGTGCAGTTACAGAAAAGTAACCATCTGACCAGTCAGATTTGAGAATACGACAGTGCGTAGTATAATGGTATTTAAATTACAACTCAGTAAATCAGTAAAGTGAACAGGAACAAAAGGAAAATGCCACATGCTGAATGGTGCCTGTAGATACCACAACCAATTAATCACCGGAAGGGAAACAAACCCATTCAGGCGATCTGGGGAAGCCCAGCTCTTCTCTGGTCTGACGTCTCCGTGACCCTTGTGCTGCAGACCACCCTTCAGAGGAGCAGAGATCAAGCTGGGACCTGCGACCAGCATGGTCACGCCTGGCGAGAACCAGCCAATACTCAAGGTCTTTTGGTTTTGCCCTTTCCACTCATGGAGCTCCAGTCTGCATGGGGGGGCGAGAGGATGTCAGTCACAAAGATCAGAGGGGCCTACAAAATTACACCAAAGCTCTAAAAAAAAAAATAAAGTAACAATGAAGGAAACATCCAGCTATACCAACTTCGTTATTCTGATAGAGTAACTTATTTAAGGGCACGATGAAAACCATCTAGCAGATTGCAATTCCTATTTGTAGAGTGAAAGCTTTACAACGTTTTCATCCTCCAGTTGACACACATTCATTGCTAGGCTTTACATTCCAAAGATCATAATCGGTAGGGATGACCATCCGGATTAGGGTGTGGAATCAAATTTTCGCTGGAATGCAGCTGATCATTTCCCTCAGCTTCCTCACCCGTGATCTATGACTGTCACCAGGTCATTGGTCTGCAGAGCCAACTTTCTGGGCTCGGCGAAGTCTTTCACAGCGCGCACCTCCCTCGGCTGAGCCTGGAAACGAGGGATGCAAAGCAAAGAGCATGTGAAACGGAGAGAGGGCGTGCAGGAAGCTTCTCCCCGGAATGAGGAACACGCCGGGCGAAACACCAGCACGATTTAGGAAGGAGATACAACATTGTTGTCATCTGACTCAGTCACATGGGAGATTAAGCAGATAAAAATGCCAGAAGTCACATGGTCACGTCAGAGCACAATAGCTGTCATTCATGACCTCAGTGAAGCAAACAGACTAACATGGAGGAAAGGTAACTCTGATGTACCTCAGTCACCAGCACACTGACTTGAGAGAAAGTCGGGCGGTCAGCGGGATTGCAAGCCCAGCACTTGCGCATCACAAAGTACAGCTCCTGGGGACAGTCTTGAGGTCTCTCCAAGCGTTCCCCGTCCCGCTCCACGCGCCACAGTATCTGAATGGAGAAGGAATTCTAAGAACCTTACTGGCTCATTGATACCATAGATACAAGGTTCGGGAATTCAGGCTGAGCATGGCTGGGGTAAGGTAAACAGAGACGTCCCTGCCGAGATCCACAATCGAATATACATACCTGCCGGCCTGTCAGCCCAAACCAGGGCTCCTCGCAGTAGGTGAACATCTCCCACATCGTGACTCCAAACATCCACACGTCCGAGGAATGAGTGAAGTAGCCTGTTCGTAAACTCTCTGGGGCACACCTACAAGGGATGTGGGGAAGGATCACATGGTCACGTGACCGAGTGCGAGAGAGACTGAAGAATGGTAGAGATTTAGCAAGCCGACACACATCCAGGGATCCTGGCTGGACCAGGTGCCGCGGCTCACCAGGCGAACGGGATGCGCCGGTGGGCGTTCATGAGGTAGTGGTCGTGCTCGGAGAGGACGCGCATGAGGCCGAAGTCGCCGATCTTGACGAGCTCACGGCTGGCCAGGAGCACGTTGCGGGCCGCCAGGTCGCGGTGAATGAAGTGCCGGCTCTCCAGGTACTCCATGCCCGAAGCGATCTGCGTGGCAAACAGCCACAGGCGCGACAGCGGGAAGTCGTTCTGCCGCAGCCGCAGTGTGTCGTACAATGAGCCCAGGGGGGCCAGCTCCGTCACCTGAGGTCAAATCAGATTTACATTACATCTAACAGACACGTTATCCAAAGAGATGCATTTTTTTGAGAAAGCAGTCAGACAGTCTTTGGAGCAATTAGGGGCTAAGGACTTTGCAAAAGGGCCCAATGGTGACATTCTGCAGACCCTCGGATCTGAACCAACAACCTTCTGACAACCACTCCCATAGACCACTGAATCAATGTCATTTCGAGCTCTCTTTAAACCTGATACTAACAACCTGAGTAGTGAGGGAGACCACTTAGCTGTAGCAACTATCTTCCATGACCAGTTAACCATTACGAGCTTGTGGTGACTAGACAGCCTAGATAGACTCTAAACACTCTTAAAAATAAATAAATAAAAGCACAGAAAATGCCTAATTGGCGCAGCTGGCAGTGCGTCAGTCTCTGACTGAAGGTTGTGAGCTCAAGCCTCACATGGGGCAGATTCATTTTTAATGGGGGTGATGTGTGGCTCTGCAGGCTGGGACTCTGTGCCCATGACCAGAAGGTTATGGGTTTTAATATCATGTTTGGCAGAGTGATTTCACCTTTGGGCCCCTGAGCTAGGCCTTTAACCCGAAATTACTACAGGCACTGGCTGGTCCTATCTTCTCAATTGTACATTGCTTTGGATACCATCTCCTGCTAAATAAATGCCTACAACTTCATGAAGTACACATTGTGTCCTAGAGTTGTACTGAAGTTCAGTCGGCAGCGTGTGGCTCAGTGGGCTAAGCCGTGTGCCTGTAATCACAAGGTCGCCGGTTCAAGCCCAGCCTGAGCAAGACCCTCAACCCCCAGTTCCCTGGGCGCCGCTACAGGTGGCTGCCCTTCGCGGACAGCTTACTCTACAAAGAGCAAGTTGAGGGAGGCGTAAAAAGAATTTCCCCACGGGGATTAATAAAAGTGTAAATTATTATTATTAAGATCCATCCATCCATCCCTCCCCACTAACCCTATGCAGGATCGTGGGGGTCTAGAGCCTATGCTGGCAGCTATGTGCGCAAGGCAGAGAACCACCCAGGATGGGGTGCCAACTATCATTAAAGATGTATGGTATAATAATGTTTTATGAGGGTCATTCTGGAAGGCTCCGTTTGTAGACCTTTAATGGTTAACTCCAGACGACAATGAGGTAGTCATGGGAAACTAGGAAATATGACAATGTTGAGAAATGACCAAAGAGGAAGGAGATGGGGGGCCTCACCATCTTCAGGGGCTGTGTGAGGACCACGCCATACAGACGGATGAGGTTGGGATGGTCCAGGGTCTGCATGATGGTCACCTCCTGCATAAAGTCACTCAGGGTGTCCGCCTGCTCGGATGGGCCAGTTTTCAAGGATTTCACTGCCACTGGTAGCTGGGAGAGTAGAGGGAGTAAAAAAGGGGAGAGCAGAGAGAAGAGTCAAAGAGTCAGTCATTAGTCAAGTACATCTGCGCAAACAAGATACTGGTAAAGCACTTAACGGTGCGTCCCACTCACAATGAGCCCGTTGGGCATCTGCCACTTGCCCTTCCTCACGACGCCAAAGGAGCCGGAGCCCAGTTTTTCAGCCAGCAGCAATTCGCTGTCCTGAATCAGGCATGTGAAGGACCTCGTCATTCTGGCACCTTGTGCCGCCCCAGGCCTGTCTCCACCGGGGTCGGCGCCTGGACCTGCAAACACCTGTTAGAACACAGACAGAAAATTACTCTGCTTGTTAACAAGGGCTCTGTCACGAAGGTTACTGGAAGTAACCCAACCAAAAGAAGAAGAAGAAGAAGGAAATAAACATCAGTAGGTGAGATGACAAAAAAAAATAATTGTCCCAGGTTAGGATTTATTTTGATAGCAAATAAAGACAATTTATGGCATTATCTTTAATGGTTTTTGAGGTATAACTATTGGGGGGCCCCTGACCTTATAAGTGGGGACCTCACTTTCATTTTCACAGTTTCCGCCATTAATTGTAGGATTTAGCTACAAATCTACTAAAAAATAGGTTTTTCAAACTTCATTTTGATTAGCCCAGTTTAGGGGAGTTTTCTGTAGAGAGAATTGAGGGTGAAATGAAAAATTTCAATACTTTAAAGATAAAATGGATAATTTCAGGGTGGTTATTGAAAGAAATAAGGACAAGGCATAGGTTGGCAAGAATAGTGAGAAACATCCTTCTTGGAAAAAAATATTTAAATGTCACATTTCTGGACAGAGAAAGGTTGAATCTGAAGCAATTTGGGACAGTTTTTACACTTCCCTCCAGTCAGTATGCATACCTTCCGGTACCCACTAAACCTAAAGATATTTGAAAATTAAGTCTGACCAGATGACTTGTATTAACAATGTTAGGTGTGTGACATTTTAGAACACAGTAACTTTAAAGCTGGGTACAATCGATCCCCTACATCTGTCCAAGAGAAACCTTTAAGAAACAGCATCATTAAAGAGGAAATGGGGACTTTTTGAACCAACAAACTGGGCGACGGTGTTTTTGAGTTCGCGAATCTATGCCATAGTCAGCTGACCGGAATGAGACTCCCTGAGGGGAAACGGGAGTCTCACGGGAAAAGCCATGAAGCTTGGCAGATTCTACAGACACGTCACCGAGTTGTTAGCGCTACAGAAACCAGCCCTAAGAGGAATGGAATCTGGAACGCGAGAGGATTATCGCGAGCGGCGAACTGTGTGAGGAAGTAACAGTCCTGTACCTTGGGTAACCATGACCGCAGACGATTGCTAGTCTTGTAGCGTTTGACAGCTTCCCATAATCTTCTCTGCCCTATGAAAACAGACACAAGCCAGGCAAACATGTGGCATATTAAAGACTCTCTCTGGAGACCTACCTGTAAACAGTTCACAATATTCACAGCACTGTCTACACTCAATATCCAAAGTGCTGAAATACACGCACCATGCTGACATATTAATCAGGACCAAACCAGAAATCAGAGATTAAAAACAAATCTTAAAAGGTTTAGAACATAAGAAATTTACAAACGATAGGAGGCCATTTAGCCCATCAAGCTTATTTGGGGAGAACTGAACTAAAAGCTCAGAGTTGTTAAAATCTTATATAGCTCTGACTTAAAGGAAACCAGGGTTTTAGCTACACGGTATGTAAAGAAGTGCTTTCTCAAATCCATTTTAAAATGTTCTCCCGCTAATTTCCACCTATGGCCACAAATTCTAGTATTTAAACTAATATTGAAGTAATATTAGTATTGAAGTAGCAAGACAGCTAGACATGTACACACACACATGAGGCAGACTGACCAGGCTTCCCAATGCCAATCTGTTCGAGGTCTGCTTCCTTGACGTAGGAAAAGTGCTCTATCCTGGTGATGTTGAGTCCATCCCGCACACGCACATAATACTGCTCCAGCTGTACTTCGGCCAGGAGCTGGTAGAGCCACTGTGTATCTTGGTCCATCCGCATGACACTGTTGGATCCCGAGCTGTTCGGAGCCGAGAAGAGACGGGAGGACAGCCATTTATCCCAAGTGCGAGAGAAGAGATCTCACTGTTCCACAGCTTTGTTCACACGTTTCCCCAGAACACCTCCATTCTAGAGATTTTTTTTATGAAGATTTCCACGGGACATATCATTAGATGCTACTTCTATTGTTGAAGCAGAAATATTAGAGGTAGGAGCCTACAGGCAAAAACCCCAAACTCAACATAATGACCCACAGCAAAGAGCAAAGGCGTAAAGATGATGTCATAGAAGGGTGTACTCGATGTTTACGCTCAAGTCCGTTCACGGTGTTTACTCTCTGATTCGCTCTGCCTGCTCCCAGGGATGAAATCATTCAGAGATCAATATGACATGAAGGCACGATGCACGTTCTCTTTTTTTTCTTTTTTAATTCTTCAGAAACTCCTGTGACCTCATAGGTTTAACACAATGAGTATATACAGCAAGTGACGCGGATAGCAGATATGCACGCACATTGCTCCATCGTACTTGTCTACCCAAGCATTAGTACGTAGATCATTTTCTAGGCGCTTTATAGGTTCAATCCATTATTATTAGCACTTGATGAGTGGTAATAATATAATAATTTGACTAGAACAATCCGAACCTGTAAAGGGACACCCAACCCCATACCTATGCAACATGTACAGCCTTAGCATGCTGTATTGGGAACAAGACATTAATTTTCTTAGCGAGCCTATTACGTACAATACCCGCGTTAATATATTTATTAATTTCCACTATTATAGTATCGCCTATCGACATCCGTCGATCGTCCGATAGTCAAAGGTGCCAGGTCATTTTAATGCACTTCATCCCTTATACAACTAAAATCAAATGTAGGTTAGCCTGTATACCTAAATAAAATCAGCAGGTAAGCAAATCCAGAATATTTCGATGACTCAGACATGCCTAGAATATCCATGTAAAGTCTCAGTGTGCATTGCAGTCCAATAAATGTTATATAGTTATAAAAGCTGATAACGTCTTGCTGTGTTTAAATATAAACGTTGGTTAGCCAACTAGAAATCATACTGTCATGATCGAATTATCCTGGAAGATCAGTAACAACGTCCTAAACATGCCTGTCCTGCGTGACCAGAACCTGTGTTTGGGTCAAAGACGCTTTGGAATATGCTATATATTATAATTATAATTTCTTAAAGTTTTAAAAAGTACAGTTGATATAATAATTGCGTTTTACACACTTTTAATACCATGATTGATCTTCCTTTACAATAATACCTGTGACTGTGCTGCAAAATATTTTTAATATCATCCATGATGTTACTACACTATCGACGAATCTCTATATAACGATACATTATAGGCCTATTATTGGGAAATGGATACGTTTTCGGTTCACAGTTCATAGAAGTAGGTAGGCCTATTTTACAGACTGGAAGAATTCGAAACTCGACCTGATTAAAGATTAGGCGGCTGTTTTTAGACCCTGCACCTGAACAACATGCATCCGATAGCCGGACATGGAAAAAGCCCTTTAAGGAATAATTTTAAATTCCTTACTGGCAATTATTTAAACTAATCGTATAACAGATCGTGTGAAATGATATTGCATTGATGCATTTATGAAATGTTATACACGCCTCGTCATTTAATTGCTCGATTTTAGGTATTTTACTGACTGGAAACACATTACAAAGATAATACACCCGAAAGTGTAGTATTATCTACCTTTTACTCCAGATCACTGCGCTCTTGCTTATATACCTACGGTTTCAAAAACGTGGGGCTCTAAGGTTTCTTACATACCATCGACATAAATACTCTTATCATTAATGTCAAATACTTACCCTTAGTAAAAACGCCCGAAGCCCGCTTCCGGCGTACTCGCGTTTGAAACGACAAACTTTACACTTAATCCAGGTATCGATGAGTATTATATTCCCGTACAATTAATAATGGCATCTGTCCATATTTTATATACTCCAAAGCTTACTTCAACAAATAAACCACCTTTCTCCCGTTTCTCTTAATTGATCCCATTGTTTTTCTACGGTACTAACCCACTTGTTTTATAAATATGATTTATATTACTTTTCCCAGTTGTGTCGTCGTTTCCACCGATCGTTAAATTGTTTAACTTCTGGGGACTACCAGTGAAGAATAATCTCCGCCTTTCTTTTCCTCCTCCCCCAGGACTTACCTGAACTCTTATCAGGACATTCAGGTGTGCAGCATAGCCTACTGAGCAGCATATCTTCCACACAACTGAAATACTCTTACTTTTCTGATAGCGACAATGGATTTCTGATGCATCACACATTTATATATAAATACACAATAAGATTTTTATCTGTCGATCTGTTCTTACATTTTCTTCCACAGGTGAAAAACGCTTGTAGCCAATCGCCGTCTTTTTCTTTCTGCTTCGTCGGCGAGGTCGACGGATCGCATGGCCAATCCTCTCTCTTAAACCACAAAATGAAACTTAAATAAATAAATAATGTACCCTGGGATTCCAGCTGGGCACTGCACAAGATGTCTGCTTAACAGTTGTAAATAAACCGAATATTACTCTAGCACAGAGCATAATGTTAAGTATATCGTTCTGCTTTCAATAGAGACGGGGTTGTGTCTCGGTGATTAATAGAAAATAAGCGTCCCTGATTGGCTCCCATGTCCTATTAATGTACAGTCATACATTAATTGTACAACCTGGGAAAACACTGCGTTTTGTAAATGATGCAATATAAATTGGAAAATACGGGCGTGGAAAGTTCATGATTCACAACCATCGTGAAGGATTTACAATCATGAAGGTGTTTTTTTTTTTTTGCAAAACAGGCAAAACTTAATGTATTAGTGGTGGGAATTGGCAGATTCAGGTTGTATTGATCTGTTATTTGCCGATTCGATATGTACCGCGATTTGTAAAATTGTCCGTGGAAAACGATTTCAGGCCTACATTTATGGCTGTAGGTACACGTCCTTTGCCGATCGGTCACATTTTCTGTTGGGAACGCACAATGAACGAATGAATACCATTCTTGACAGGGGCGAAATCTAAATCCACGTGTATAGATGTGCCTCATGCAAAACATCGTGCTAATTGTGGACGTGAGTTGGCTATGGTCATTGTTGGAGAGTTTAAAGACCCTCCCACGTAACTTAAATCAATAATTTGGGAACATCTTGATTTCACAATAAAATACACCAATAACAGAGAGAGCAGTTTATAAGACTAGAACTGTCTGTGATCTCTGTTATACCGAACTCGGATATTTTGCGGGGACACCCTGACACACATCTAACATGCCAAGGCAAACTATAGGCAGCTGTCTAGGGCCCGATCAGTACAGGAGATCCCAGACAAAATTATCTAATAAAAACACATAGGCCTACCAAGTATACAGAGGGCTGGGCGGAAGCTCTGGATGTTTTCCGAAAACTGACAGAACGTGTCTGACACCTGCGAACGACGCGCAAATTCTCGGTAATCTGTCACGGGCAGCGGTAAAATTAACGGCAAAAAGTTTTACAGCTAGCGCCCGGCAGTGACTAATTTACAAGATTACCATAATACCGCCCAAGCCTGGCCGCAAATTTCCCTTTTAAAGGGTGGTTCGGGGAAAACTCATTAATATTCATAAGATAAGCGCTACGTGATTCGTTATACTCGTGTACACTAGTAAGGACAGTCTCCATTAAATAGCTACACCTAGTATATAAGTGGATAGCTAATTTGGCTAAAGTGTTACTACATTTTACGTTTCAATTTAAGAATAGAACATGTTTTTGCTGAAACACTACATAGCTCTATTTAATGAAGTAATGCTATTCTACACCATTCTTGTTCCTCCTAAAGGTGTTCAGTGCGGTTGAGGTCAGGGCTCTGTGTGGGTCAGTCAAGTTCTTCTACACGAGACTCACTGAACCACGTCTTTGTGGACCTCGCTTTGAGCACTGGGACACAGTCAGGCTGGAACAGATAAGGGCCGCCTTCCCCAAACTGTTCCCACAAAGTTGGAAGCATAGAATTGTCTAAAATCTCTCTGTGCTGAAGCATTAATAGTTCCCTGCACTGAAACTAAGGGGCCAAGCCCAACCCCTGAAAAACAACCCCATACCATTATCCCTCCTCCACCAAACTTTGCAGTTGGTAAAATGCAGTCAGGCAGGTAATGTTTTCCTGGCATCCGCCAAACCCAGACTCATCCATCAGACTGACAGACAGAGAAGTGTGATTCATCATTCCACGGAACATGTTTTCTCTGCTCCAGAGCCCAGTGGCAGTGTGCTTTACACCACTGCATCTGACGCTTGGCATTGCGCTTGGTGATGTGAGGCTTGCAGGCAGCTGCTCGGCCATGGAAGCCCATTCCACGATGGTCCCGGCGCACAGTTTTTGTGTTGGAGTTAATTCCAGAGGAAATTTGGAACTTTTACTCACTACGCAAAGTTTCTGTTATCGCTAAACGTTCCACTTAGCAAAGATACCACTTACAGTTGGCCGTGGAATGTCTAGCAGAGAAGAAATTTCACGAACTGACTTATTGCATCCTATGACAGCACCACACTTGAATTCACCAAGCTCTTCAGAATGACCCATTCATTCACAAATGTTTGTAAACCTGACTGTATGGTCAGGTGCCTGATTGTATACACCTGCGGCAATGGGTCTGAATGAAGCACCTAAATTCAATGATTAAGAGGTATGTCTCAAAACTTTTGTCCATATAGTGTATTTTGTCACTAAAAAATCACCTTTTTGAGAGCAATATCATAGACAGAAAAAAATAGTCTGATGATGGAAACAGTGGAGCGAAACCCCTGCAACATAGATATATTTTGTTTTGTTTTCATTTTGCTAGGAGGTGTTGACCCCTGCAAAGGTAGGTCCAGTCCTGTTTATCACTAAACAGCCCCCACAAGTCTCTGGAGCCCCCTTCATGTGAGATGTTGTGCCCTGTAGAGCAAAAAAATGTGATGAAGTGTTTGAATGGAGGCTTTTCTAGTGGAGACAGTGCCCTCTGTGTTATCTGTACATGACTAAACGTCCCAAAGGGTACACTTCCCTGTAGGGAATGGGATGCAGTATAGCCAAGGGCACTGCTGAGCGGCGAGGAAACATGAAGAAGTGCCCAGATAAGTGTAGACAGAATGGGATGCAGTGCTGTACATAGCATTCGTCCATGTGTGAGAATGGATGCCGCTCTAGTGGAAAAAAATGTGATGTAGTACCATACACTGTCAGAAAAATGGGCACCGCCCTGGTACAGGTTTGTTCCCCAAAATACAAACGACACTAATGTACCCCCAATGGTACAAAAATGTTCCTCAGAGTCTATTTCTGCAGATTAAATTAGACTAAAAGGTACAAGTATCACTTGTTGTTTGGTTTTACACTTAGTTAAGCTAGAATTGGGTTGTGTTGGACAAGTGGGTTTTTGTTTCTTATTTTGGCGATAATCACTCCTGAGTCTTTCTGCACTAAACCATTTGTTCTGTGTCTGTCTTGCGTGAATAAAATATAAAAAACTATAAAAATATCCCCTTTGTCCACGTGTGTTCCCTTGTACACCACACCCTGTGTTCCCCTCGTTCCCCTTTCCCCATTCCCTTCATCTGTTACACCCTAACCCCTAGACAGGGTCGTAACACTACAGATAAGGTAACAACAGGCAGACTCTTGAGGGTACAGCCCCAGTGACCAGTAATTGTACCCAACAAAGGTACAAATTTTGACTCTTTTCCTGACACTGTATAAGGTGCCCTTATTGGGTAAATGAGGTGTCCTATGGGTGCCTTTCTGGTGGGAAAAAAAACTGAAAGAAAGGAAATGTGATATCTATGAAGAGTCCTTCACCACACATAGCGTACCATTTTCTTAGGGGCGGGGGCGGTGCACACATCAAGCAATAGGCGCCCTTTTTATTTGAGTCCACCATTGCATATGCGACCAATATTTCTAGTAGAGATCACATGATTTAGTGCATTATAACTGATGCTATGCGGTTATGTGATTTTCAAATTTATTTTTGTTGTGCAAATGAACGTCTCTTAGGTTTTGTTATTCAGACACAACAAACACACATTGCCTTATGTTTGGTTTGCGGCTCTTCATAACTGAGTTTGCAGTTTTAATAATAATAATAATAATAATAATAATAATAATAATAATAATAAAAATTCTGTTTCCCTCCTGTTCCAAAATTGCCCCTAATCGTGAAACCCTAGGACATAGCCTTACTGGTGTCTTTAAAGTCATACCCGAGGGTATTCGGCGTTACCCAAATTCACATGTTCGTGTATTTATGAATATGAATAAGCTACTGACTGGTGCTAGCCAAGACATCAAGTCTTGAATGTCAAACTGAAAACTCTTATTCCTGCATTGGACCTTTTCAGTCCAACCAGTCGGACCACATTTTTTCCCTCATTTGAAAACATTGCGCAAACAGTGTGGCTCTCCCATTGTTTCACACTTCCCGGTACAACATTTTTGTAAACAGATTATTACTCATGTCTTGTCTGGCTGGTACAGCGATCACAGCGAGTGTTTTCGTTCAAGGGTACTACAACGAGGAAATACACAGCACAGGACATTTCTCGTAAAAAAAAAAAAAACACCCAAACTACAGTAGTCCCAAAAACAAAACTCATATTGCAGTAAACTGGAAAGAAGATTAATCCGTTTTTCAATGCCCATCCATTTTCTGTAACCGCTTATCCTATATAGGGTTGCGGGGTTTCGGAGCGTGTCCTGGAGGCTACAGGTGGGAGGCAGGGAACAACCTAGGATGGGGCACAATCCCATCGCAGCGAACACTCATACAAGCACATTTACGAACGATTTGGTGACTTCCGTTAACCTCAGCATGGCTTCGGAGTGTAAGGGGGAACCCCTTAACGATATGGGGAGAACATGCAAACTCCACACACACACGGAGCCACGGTGGAAGCTCAAATGTTGATCCCAGAGGTGTGAGGCAACAGGGCTACTGCGGTGAAACAGTAGTTATTATAATGCAATGCGATATACAGATAAATTTTACCTCACCTACAGAGAGCAAGTTGGGGGAGGCATAAAAATAATCAATAAAAGGTCAATAAAAAGGAATCTATTATTATTATCATCACTACTGTTATTAAGGGTCCAAAGCACATAGTGTTATTGTTCTTCTTAGGATTTTTCTCTTTTATCATTATTATTATTATTATTTATTATTATCTGGTAGTCTATCGCGCTACATGAATACCAGCCCCCTTCCCACCAGTGTCTCACCATGAGCTGATTCTGGCAGGTGTTACTTTCTGACCTCTAACTTAACCAGGAGAAAAGTGCACGTGTGAAATCTCTATTATCTTCTGAAATACATTGAAAGCACTCATTCTTTCTGCAATATCCTTTTATTTGTTCTGCTGCCTTCCTTTTCCACTTGTGACGTAACAATATTATATTGCATCATCTAATTATTGTTAATAACAATAATAATTTTTTGTGACGCATTCTTTTTCTCCCAGTACCACGTGTTCAGGGTAATTATATTATTATATTATATTACACACATGTGCTCCAGGGTAGGGATGGGTGAGGCCAGTGGTTTTCTTTTTGATTTTATTTGATTCAATATTAATGTTGGTATCACACATCCCGATCTTGATATTTAGTGCCAGCTCCAGCCTAACAGTAAAATTTGCTGATGAGCGGATCATTCATTGCATTTCCCTAGTCTAGGCCCCTGAAAACTTTCTGTTTGGTAGTAGATCATGACCTGCTCCCTATAATAATATCCATCCATTCATCCATTTTCTGTACTCGCTTGTTCCATTCAGGGTCGTGAGAGTCTGGGGCCTACAGGAACAATGCACGGAATAACCCAGGAAGGGGGGCCAGCCCACCGCAGGGCACATACACCATTCACACCTTGGTTTAGGCTGAAATCCTGGTCCCAAAGGTGTGAGGCAAGAGAGGTAACCACTGTGCCACCAAGCTGCTCAACCATAATAATATAAATACTTAAATTACCATCTTTTTTTTTTTTTTTACATATTTTAATGTTGGAATTGATTCTCATAATGAATCATTCAGCTGAAAAGAATTGATATCTCAGTATTAATCTGCAAATCCTTCACTGTATGGATGGACAGATGGATACTTCATTGATCCCTGTGGGGAAATCCTGTTTTTGCCTCTCTCAACATGAAGGCCAGTCACCCATAACAGCACTCAGGGAGCTGGGGGTTAAGGGCCTTGCTCAAGGAGGACACGCTTGAACCAGCAACCTTCTGATCACAGGCACAGAGTCACACACTGGCCCATGAGATATGTTAAAAATGCCTTCACGGGTTAGTTGGGGCCTTTAGAATTTCCCATAGAGTTTGCATGTATGTGCCCAGCTTTATGTCCTATGACAGCAATAGAATCTCGTCCCTTCCGATTCTGACTAGGTGTGAGGTTAACAGATGGATGAGTAACTAGGAAGTCACAAAGACACTAAATAAATGAACATTAGACACTAACAACACAAAAGTACACAACAATTTTCCTATGCTTTTATGACATTATTAATCTAAGGGCACAAAAAACATTCAAAACGTCACGAAATTTTAATAGGGAATTCCAAAATAATTTATGAGAAATTAATCTTCATTACTTGGTTTCTCTCTCTCCATTCAAAACAGCGAATATATCCTGTAAAATATATATCTTTGTATTATCTGCCTCACTTGTACGTCACTTAGGACAAAAGTTACTGTTAAATAAATAAATATGAATGTAAAATAGACACACCCGGTGGCTGACGTAACCAGCGCATGTGTTTCTTAGCATAGCTGACGTAAAGAAAAGCGACGGAAATGAGGCTCACGTTGTAAAAGAGCGACGCGGTTCATTGATTGGGGCAGAATTTTAAAGTATCGTTTCTTTTGTGTTTTTGTTTTTATTAGATTAAATATTTCAGGTATAAAAAGGCAACTCAGAGAAGGAAAATCCCACCCGCTGTAGAAGGTGCACTTTAACGGTGAGCTCAAGGTTGTGTTTCGCACAGCGCGCACGGTGTCGGAGAATCCTTGCGGGCTGCAGTTTGGATATGTTTTAGCTAGCTACTAGAAAACGACAATGTTAATTAGCTAGCTTAAAGACACTAAACAAGCCTTTTGTAAATTATATATAAAGAAAATCATGAAAATAACTAGCAGACAGTTCCCGCTTACATTTCTCTGCCCCTTCTTTAAAATACCGTTTACATTACATTCAGCGTGCTAGCATACATTCGTCGGATGTGTATGTATGTACTAGCTGAATGCAGCTTATAAAATCCTTTATCGTAATTGGTTATGAATATATTTCCAACATATTTATGAATATATTTCCATAGTTATTGAGAAGGTGAGATGCAAATGAAGCCGTACCTGTTCTGTATCTTATGACGAACCCGTTCATTTGTCATTGCAAGTAGTAACGGACTTAAATTGATTAGATGATGTCAGTTAAATAGGTCAGTTAACCGATGAGGTACGGACGGAGTGAAACAATGTGTGAAATAACACGTTTTACTTTATGAGGCAGACTGTGTGCCTATTAGCATTTACTATACGATGCTTAGTTTGTATATAATATGTAGCATCTGTCTATCAGTCTGCAAGTTAGAATGCAGATTACTTTGTAATTCCTGTTATTTTCCATCAGTTAAACTTTTCCTTATTGCCCCGTCCATTTTTATATCGTCAGTTTAGCTGTACATTCATCTACAGCTTTTACATATGTTTTAAATACTATATATCTAATGTAATAAGGGACCATTATATGAAAGTTTTTATGCTGCATTCTGTGTTGCTGTAATGCAGTTATCATTGCTGACAGCTTTAATAGAACTGATACACTAATTGTTTGTTTTTCTTATTTGTCGTAGCCCTAGGCAAGTTTACACACATTTTTCCTTGTTTTCTTTGGTGTTTCCTGCCCAGATAGGCGGCAAGCTGGCGCAGGTAGCAGGGTGCCGGTGGACAATGAGAGGTAGTGGTGGCAGCCTGGCACAGAATCACTGGCAAAGTGAGCTGGCCCTGGCTGGCAGCCAGGGCGGCAGTGGGGGGGAGAATATCGGAAGGGAGCACCTCATGAACCCGACGTTGACCCGACATCCTTCCAGTCCCATGCAGCTGAAACAAGGCCAGAGGGAAAGGGGGTGTGATTCAGAATGCATTGAGCAGGAGGACACAGACGAGTTGGAGGATGAGGAGGAGGAGGAGGAGGAAGAAGATGATGATGATGATGATGATGATGATGACGAAGAAGGGGAAGATGTAAACTTCACAGGTGGTTGCTGGGAAGAAGATGGAGATGTGGAGTATGGAGCTCAGCCGCCACAGCTACAGCAGCAGCCCGAGCAGCAGGCCGATTACCAAGCCAGGGATTTGCCTGACAGCCCCATTCCGGTGCGGTCCAATGTCCTGAGACTCCGCAGGCTCCGGCTCCGGCGCTGGCGAAGGCTCCGCTCTCATGCCAGCCTGAGGTCCCGTTGGAAGACCTGGCGCCAGCAGGCCCTCTGGGGCGGCACCTTTGGTTTCAGGCGGGTCAGGAGGTGGCGCCAGTATAGAAGCCAGAGAGCTCGCAGCCCCCGGCTGGGTGGGCCGGCACTAAATGGAGCTGAGGCAGGTGAGTAAACATGGCGTAGAAATTGGTGGAATGAATTCCCTGCCCACCCCATTGATTGGTTGAGTGAACGAGATGATGTCACCTTCCTAAAATTTCCAAGTAGGGTTGAGGAAGATGGAAGGCTTGCAGTAAGGCCATGTAAATGTACCAGAAAGAAGGGCGAATTCATGGGCCTCTTTTCTAATATCTTTTTTGGCAACTATATCTGTGGCTCTCTGGTCAGCCTACAGCAGCCATGCATGTCTAACTTCTTTCATATTGGCCTGTGATGCATAACGTCTTATTGCTAAATCTTCACGACTCCCTACCACAAACAAAAAAGGCACCAGTGGCAGTTCTTTTGATTCGTTTTTGAGTTGTTTTTCGTTACGGGTGAAATACTGTAAGCATTGCGCTCAGGGTATAATTACACTGCACTGGAGCATTTGTACAGTTAGTTGGGCTTAAAAGTGGCACCCCGGTGTGGCGGTAAGTGATCTGTCTGTTGTCAGAATAATCTGCATGCATCTGTTGAATAAATGACGTTTGGCTGCTGATGCAGGACGTTTCAGATTTCTGTTGTCATTTTCTGCCCAATCCAATTCTGATCGGAGAAAATCTCCAAAGCCGAACCGGTCTTGTTTTTTAATGCATATGGCAGTGTGTGAATACAGAGTGACAAATGAAGCTATCATTGCTGCAATGGGCTGCTTGTAACAAGACTTTCCCTGCAAAATCTTTCTCGCTGCTTAGTGGCAGAATCCGCATCGGACTTTATACGCCCAATGTGTTCGAGGAATCTGTTGTGGTGAATTGGTCATAATGGGAACACTTAACATATAATGAATACCACATAGAACTTCTCCTAAAAATCACTATACAAGATATACAGAATTCAGACAGTTTAATATCCATGATGTATGCAATGTACTACATGATACAGTAGTCATGCAGCTCACAAATCAAAATGAAAGATTTCATTTGTAAAAATTGAAATTTTCCCTTAAGATTAGATTTTATATATATTCTAAAAATGTACTTCTGTCCTATTAGATTTGATTAACTTTTATGGAGGGAAATTCTTAGTGATCAAAATCTTGACTTAATTTAGCCCCAGCTGCATTACCAGTAGACTTGTTTCATTTGGAAGTGAGCTGTACCAACAGAGAGCCATGGCTGATTCACCTTGCCGGTGAAGGTGTCCTTTGAAGATAGGGCCCTTCACCATTGCAGCCAATGTAGTAATAGTGTGAAAGACCAGCCCAGCCCCCTAAGGACATTGAGTCCTTCATGCAAAGCTTTTTGGGACCAGAATCTGAGCAGACGCATCCAATAGGGACCAAGTCGCTGTTATCTTCCCCTTCAGACCCTCAGGCTGGCGAGGTGAATGGTTTCCCAGGCGACTTCCGCAGGGCAGATGGCACAGAAGCGGGAGACGTGGGGAGAAGCGGGTCGCCCTCGGCCGGCGCCGAACCCCCCGGTCCACGTGACAGGCCCGCTCCCCAGAGCATGCAGAATGCCCTGACCGACGAACACGTGACCTGCGTTCAGGGTATGTGCATCCAATGCTTCCTTTTCCACACGCTGCTGCCTCGGTGTGTTCAGGCAGGTCTGGTCACTCTACGTTCCCGATGTAACGCTTCCCTGGTGATGTGTATATTCCCAGCTCACTGTTCAAGTTGGGTGGAAAGCAAACCGTTTCCTGATTTGATGCCCTTTCCACAGGGATCCTGGATGAGTCTTTACAGCAGTACGGCAGCCTGATCCCCATCCACGTTGACGAGGTGGTGGAGAAGCTGGAGGACATCTTCAGTGAGAGCTTCTCTCAGCCCCACAGGTCTGCTGCTCACAGCAGGATCACCCTTCTGCTCTTTATTTAACCGCCTTGCTGCTTATTCTGTTATGTAGGAGTGAGGATTCATAGGCCACGTGTGACGTGATTCCTTTCCTGTAAGTGGTTATGAGTTTTGGCATCTATTCGGAAGCCTACAACAGGAATGTGACGTGTTAAGTTCATGTGCTGATTGTGTTCTCGTTCCTGAACTTACGAAAACTTGTAGATCATACTTTACATTCCCTTGAGAGTAACTTTACGGGTATCACTAGAAATATCCACACACGCATACACAAAGTACAAACTTTCCCCGACTTACGACTTGCATTTACTTAATTAAAAGTTTTTTTTCTCAAATCTTCTGTCACACGTCCAAGTTGTAAGTCTCTTAAGTTGTAAGGCGGGGATAGTCTGTATCAACTCACGTTTCCAATGAATGCAAACCCAACGAGGGCATGAATGGACTGTCAGAGTTGCTGTGTGTCGCGCTGCTGCAGGAAGGCTGTGGTGCAGCATCTAATTCAGACCTACCAGCGGCTGTCTGGCAACGTCATGGTGCGAGGATTCCGCGTCAACTACAAGCGCCACGTTTTAACAATGGACGACCTCAGCACTCTGTACGGCCAGAACTGGCTTAATGACCAGGTGTGTTCTTCACGCCCAGACAATTGAATTAAACGGCTTCATCCTCGGACCGCGCGAGTGGTTCTCGCCAGTGCTCGAGATGACCTGCGTCAGTTTGGCATGTAATAAGAGCCTTGGTGCGTTGTGGTCATGTGATTGTGTGCTGGTCATGACGACCCGTGTCTAACCTGCAGCCCTGGTCACCTCTCTTCAGGTCATGAACATGTACGGGGATTTGGTGATGGACTGCGTGCCAGATAAGGTGAGTTTAAAGGCTCTGCAGCGGCTTTGTTGATTAACACTCAGGCATAGATACAAGGATATAAATTCACCTGTATAAATATTAAGCTGCTATACTAGGATGTGCCTCTGTTTACAGTATAAAATATACTTCTCTGTTTACAGGGAGTGTTTGTAAAGTTGGGTATGTTATTCAAATTGTACATTACAGAAGGGAGAGTTTTTGCATGTTGAGTGATTGGTATTGCTACATTTCAAAATGCCTCCATATAGTATCCTGGCCTTTGTAATTGTAATGTTTCTCTTTAAACTGGTGATTAATTCCCCATTGCTGTGCCTTCAGTCACCTTTGCAAAACTTTAAGACGGCAGATCACTCTCCATTGAGGAGTTTAGTAAAGACCAGTCAAAAGTTCTTCCGCACTAGAAGTTTTTACCACTTATTTTTATTCAGATTTTTTTTATTCTTCTTAAGCGCTGGAAAGTTGAGTGAACAACTATAAATGAAAATATGTCACATAAAACAAGTTTCCTTTATAACATGGAAAGAGAGAGTATGTGACAGTGAATGTCTGGACATTATCTGGTTGTGTGGTGATGGCAGAGTCAAATTCTAGGCTGTCCTTTAACTTTAAATGCACTAGTTAACTGTTTCATCGGTGTGATGTAACGTATTTAATGTCCCTTGTGGAAAGAATGCCTTGAATTTTCTCTGCTGTTACAACTGCTAGAGGACTACTTCATGAATCGAAGATATGACATTTTCTAGCTAGTAAAGGTGCCCAAATGGTGAATGTACTGTTAATTTATTTGCTAGCAAAGAATATTGAGTGTATTTTTAGTAAATGTTAAGTGAGTGACAAATGTAGAAAAATTCGGTGTGCGCAAAAACTTTTGACTGGTAGTGTGTGGCGAAAATTAAATATAAAGGCTGGGCCAAAGTGGACAAAGTAGTACACAGCCAAACCTCCTAGGATTTTTTCCCACTATGTCTCTTCGGGGACTAAAAGCAGTATGGTGTGAATGTGGAGGACTGACCTCTGCTGGCTCCCTGCCTGGCTTCTCTTCTCTCACAAAGCAGTCATGCTTGTGTTGTAATCTTACCCCGTATCAGTTGTCTCAAACTGCTGTCACTTTAAGTCATGAATCGTCAGCAGGAGATTGAGTTGGTCCCTGTACACCATAGAGGTGGGACCTAGAGTCATTAAACCATTCATATATTTACTTCTCTGTCTTAATTTTGAGAGTCGGTTACCTGACGGAAAAGCTTCCTTTGAACTGTTGTTCATACGAACTTACTCTCTGTTTCTTAGGTTCACTTTTTCAACAGCTTTTTTTATGACAAGCTGAGAACGAACGGCTACGATGGAGTCAAGCGGTGGACAAAAAACGTAATGGATCTAAGCCGTGTTCAGAACCCTAATCCGAGCCGTACAGTTTCACCCCTGTCCTGGTTTCTGTGCATTTTCCCCTGTGACACCACCTGCATCCTTTAATTGAATGCATGCAAGTCCAGCTCTGTCAACGTTAATGTCGTCCCTCCTGGGTCTCCAGGTGGACATCTTCAAGAAGAACCTCCTGTTGATCCCCATCCACCTGGAGGTGCACTGGTCGCTGGTGTGCGTGGACGTCCCGCGTCGCGCCATCACCTACTTCGACTCACAGCGTACCCTCAACCGCCGCTGCCCCAAGGTGAGTCTCTCTTGCGCCTCAGTGACAAACCCGCTCCTCGCCATCGCGATTCCTCCCCTTTAATCGCAATAATCCATCACGTTTCCTCCGGGATCATTTTCTCTCCACATTCTGCTTGTTTTCAGCACATTGCGAAGTACCTGCAAGCGGAAGCTGTGAAGAAAGAGCAGAGAGACTTCCTCACTGGGTGGAAAGGCTATTTTAAGATGGTATGGAAGCCGGATTTACATTGTAATAGCTATACAGCCAAGCCATATCCGTGCATGACTTGGTGATGTGATCACTTTTGGGGTCAGGTAATGCTAGAAGCCTACGTAAGATCTTGGGTGGGTAGAGTCACATCTCCAGGAATTACAATCTGTTTGGTATGATGGTGTGTACTGACATGCATGTTTTCCCATTGATGGTGTACCTGACCTTTGGGTCTCAGTTCTGCTATGGCTGGATTACTGCAGTAGTCTGAACATACCTTTTTTTGGCTTGAGTGAAAATCATATACCGTAATGTGTGTGTGTTTGCTGGCTAATAGTTACTCTTTCTGTTGTGTAAGTGTAGACAGTGTGTGATGACCTGTACGCATGAAAACTGAAGTTCACCCTGCGTGATTGAGAAGTTCGCCGGTTTGAATCCCATCCTTGGCAGAATATCACGTCTCCGTTGGGCCCTTGAGTTCCCAAAATGCTCCTGGGGAGGCAATAAAGGACTCACCCTGCGCTTGGACACCAAGCTTCACTCTCAATTGTGTATATATATGTGTGTGTGTGTGTGTGTGTGTGTCATAGAGGAGAGCATGATGGGATAGAAAAGCATCCTGATGCACCTGCGCTCTTCCTTGTGCAATTGGCAAATAAAGCGTTGTTTCATTTCCTTTCAGAACGTCGGCAGGCAGAACAACGACAGCGACTGCGGCGCCTTCGTCCTTCAGGTGGGTGCCTTCTCAAAATGGCCGCCCGGAGTTACTCCTGATGGGCTCTGCTGTCCGTCTTGGGCTGGTGATCCTCACGGGCCTTTCCCTGCCATTTGTGTCGAATTAAGCACGTTAACCCCCCCGAAACGCTGACCACGTACCCCATTTCTGCTGTTCTCTGTCGCAGTATTGCAAGTGCCTGGCCCTGGGGAAGCCGTTCAGCTTCGGCCAACAGGACATGCCCATGCTGAGGAGAATCATGTACAAAGAACTGTGTCACTGTAAGCTCTCGCTGTGACATCTGGTAGAGGGCCGAGGACACAAAGGAGACCTGAGAGAAACACCCACCTCTCTATTTTTCTTGGCAGCCAGAGACTCTCAAAGTGGATTTCTTTTTTTTTTTTCCCCTCTCTCCCCCCCCCTTAATAATTTTTCCACTCCCCCTCTTTTTTGTTGTTGTTTCCTTTATGGTTGATAGAGGCCAACTGTACTCAACACAGAGTGCCTGTAGGATACGGTTCATTTACAGCTGTGTTGGACAATGAGTATTTGAGTATCTCTGAATGAAGGCATGTTTTTGAGGCCGGCCAAACAAACATCACAACAAACAAACTGGTTACATGTTCTCGTTCAGGGAAAAAAAAAATTGGGAATGGAAAAAATAAGTATCTTTAAAAAAATCTAAAGCTGTCATGATTGTGTAAGCTATATACTTTTTTTTGTCAGTGTGGGTCCTCTGGGGCCTATCGCTACTTGTTCATGAGTTAATGTTTCTTTTTTTTTTGTCAAGGGAAGGGGGGATATGCTCCGAATAATGGAACACATTCATGTTTTATATCTTTCAAACTACATTGTGTTTTCAGTTGCTAAAAATAAAATATCGGGATTAAAAAAAAAAAAAAACAGTGATGAAAGACAAAAACTTTGCCGTACTGCTGTAGAGTGACTTGCTGACAGAGAGTGCTGTGATGTCCAGAGCCCCAGCTCTGTCATCTAGTAATGAGGGTCCTGAGCATTAATTACCATTGTGCTGCTCCTCCGTCACCTGGCTCACAGTTATGTAACCGGTGAACTGCCACAATGGGAAAAATACTTTCGAGAATGTGGGAAGTTGCCGTAGTGTAATCCTTGCAGCTGTGCAAACTGCAAAAGGACCCACACCCTTTGAAGGGGGGGGGGGGGGGGGGTGGCAATTTTAACGATATTGTTATAGTATATCAGAATTAGTAAAGACCTTCCACAAATGCAGTATTTCATCCCTATTTTTTATTGCTAGGTTTTGGCGTTTGTACATTGGTTGTGGATAATTAAGGACTGCTAGTTGCTTTTACATTTAGTGCACAAGAAGGTAGACATTTTCTTTTTTTACAAATCATCTATTGCATACATATAGAATTATACTTCCAGGGGCGGGGTGGTTCTTGTCTTCAGGGTGATGGATTTGATTGCTGGGTGTCCCTGTTGATTTTTCTTCAGGTAGTCCAGTTTTCTCCCCCAGTAACAAAAAAAAAAAAATGCAATTTAGTTGGATTGAAGCTCACCAGTATTATGAGTATGCTGCGACTTCTGATAGCTCTCATCCCAGGTATCCGATTTCATGTCCTGTGCTTGTGGGGACAGAATCCAAGTTACCGTAACCCTGTAGCAGAAAAGATATCACATGAGATACATGGATGGGCATGCCAAGTGCTGGAAGTCACTACATTAGGCCAGTTTAGTATAATTATTGTTTGAAATTGATGCTCTTTATATATTGGCTGAATTAAACACCACCCCAATATGAACTCGTAACACTTTGTTGGGAACAGGGTCTAAAGTACAGAGTATATCTAGCCAAGTTAAAATAGAATCTGCCCAGTTTATACACAACCTAGAGACTAGTACCGCCATATTGTGAAATTGTCGAATGCATGCGCCCTCATGTCTCCTAAGGGACGATAAGAGGCTCTACGATAGAGGGCGCTCATTGGTCTGGATGTCATCCATCAGTTTAAGGTATCATCGTGTTATCATTGTATCATAGGAATGTCATCATCGAAACCAACCAAGAGTAATTTCCCTATTTATAAGGAGTTGTCTAATATTTTGCGTCAGCTGGATGTTTTGGGAAAAAAATAAATGATAATATTTTTCTCATTAAATCTCAGTGAAAGAACACATGTAAAGCGATTGGTAAATGAAAACGGTGGTATCTGAAATGCTGAATTCCTTGTTAAGCTAGTTTCCAGTCTGGTCAACATTTAGCTAGTTACTGGTTTATAGCTGGGGTGAGCCAGGCGGGGTAAGTATGACACGATTGCCAGTTTAATTACCGCTTCTGGTGGAAGGATGGAGGCCAATCAAACTCGTCTTCATTTTTCTTTAGTCCTATCGCTGTGTTCTAGGGGAGGGTTTACAGCGAAAGCCCGCCTGTTATGTCTTCATACGGGCTTACGTTCACAGTGACGATACACGCAACGTGTTCTTATGGTTGATTGACGTGGCCCTCGTGCAATCAGAAACCTTCGTTTTCGTTCACGCGCAAGTATAGCACACATTTTCACCACCGGCTCGCTCTTTGTGATAATGTCGGCCGAATATGAAGATCGGTAAGGAGAGAATTGGGTTTTATGGCGGTTTTGACTAGCTTTTGAGGTTGGGAAAATAGCTGAAAATATAGGCAAATGGTTTCTATTATCTTTAAAATCTGCTTGATAACACTTTTCAAAAGCGTATTTTGACATTATGATTTAATTCCCTGAAATCGACTAGCTAACGGTTGTTAAAACACTTGCCGGAGTGTTAAGAGGCTTACAAATGGAAATATGCATGGTATGCTTTTACAAAATGCCATATTAGGGAATCTATTAATAGGGCCGTCGTATTTTAACCGCTCCAGCCTAACCTCTCCAGCGTCGGATCGTGGTTAGCTTAGCCGATTTTTTCCACCGCGCTGACCTTACCGGTTCCCAAGCAAGCTGATCTCGGGTGGCGCGGTAACAAACAAGGTTTGTCGAGGTTAAAAAAGATCAACACTTGCCACTGGATTCTTTTACGGGTTTACATTTTTCCTGAGTTTGTTTTTCAAACGTTTTGCGGTCGATTGCCAATAGATTTTCTGTCTTAAATTCCTTGTGTATATCGATATAGATGACGACAGATTACAAAAAAGGCCCAAGGACTAGTTTAATTCAAGCAGGCATGTCGGCGCCGGGGAGATGAATGGTGATGAGGGTAGTTGTAGACCTGGAGAAAACAGTTTGAGAACACGATGCTGTCCGATTGTTTTTAAGACAAAGGGCACGCCATGGGTATTCGCTAAATTTTGACTGTCAATGGAACATTTATTGTTAGAAGAATCAAGTTCCCAAATCGATAGCGTGAACGAGAAGCGGTAGTATGGTGGTCCGGCATTTCTTTCTCCACCGCGTGCCGATCTTGCGCACTTCCTGTAGAAACCACGTGTGTTCGACGCCTGTTATGAAGGAAATATATCGAAGAATAAGTTTGAAGACTGATTTGTCTCTACTCGGTATTTCATGCTGGATCGTTAGCGCATTTTTTACCACGGACAGAACGCGGTTAGTTTCTTCTAAGACCGAGTTTCGTCCGGTGCACGTGTCGCACGTTGCGGGGCCTTTAACCGTGACGGGGCGGCCATCTTGAATGCGTGAAATAAAAATGGCTCCCTACCCGGTTATTCTAATGACCGCCATCAGGCGCGTTAAACGCATTTCGCCATCGGCCCACATTAGCACTGCTTACTGAAATTTGATCAGATTAGCAGTTAACTTTACGCGAAAGCGTTTATTTACTCGGTAACTTTGGGAGAGGGCATTATTTCGTACTGGTAAGCTTGGGCGTTAATTTTTCTCCTGTTTTTCCTTCCAGACCCAGAGACAATGGCCCAGATGGCATGGATCCAGATGGCGTCATTGAGGTGCGTCAAGTTTAATTTTTAAAATGGTGGCGTGGTTCCTGTCCTTATTTACCATGGAACTGATGCTAGAGGTGTTCAGAATGTGATTAACCGTATGGAGCCCCACCTTTGTACACCTTGGGGATTTGTGGCCATACCCAAGATGTGTATTGGGGTCTAGACAGTGTTTGAGTACATTAGGGTCTGTTAGCTCTAATGCAAAGAACTAGTTCTTGCCGCAAGCGCACTGTTCAGTGGTCTGCTTTTTGTTGGCTGTTCTGTTTCGAATGTTTGAATTCTCTTCTCCTTCTTGCTATAGAGCAACTGGAACGAGATCGTGGACAGCTTCGATGAGATGAACCTGCGTGAGGCTTTGCTCAGGGGCATCTACGCTTATGGTTTCGAGAAGCCATCTGCCATTCAGCAGAGGGCGATCCTCCCTTGCATCAAGGGTATGTGAGTGTACCCCGGCAACTCCCAAAGATTTTCCGTCTCTGGTGTGGGGTCCTTGCTTATCTGATGTTTGTTTCTTACAGGTTACGATGTTATTGCACAGGCCCAGTCCGGGACAGGAAAAACTGCAACCTTTGCTATCTCCATCCTGGAACAGATTGAGATTGACCTGAAGGGCACCCAGGCCTTGGTTCTGGCCCCCACCAGAGAGCTGGCCCAGCAGGTATGTGCCTTAGCAATGGTGCTGGCTCTTAACCTGTCTGGGGAAGAGCGAGTCTGCTTTGATCATTGCTGTGTCTGCACCCAGCAACAAGCTGGTTCATCCTGTGGGCACATTTTTTGACTGCCCTGAACTAACTGGATCTGTCAGGACATGTGCTAAACTTCATCGAGTTGGCCTGTATTACTAGGTTTCATCTAACATTGGATTGCATTTTACACGGCTAAATAAGATACAGATTCATTTGGCCATTGCTGAAGTGTCTGTTCTGTGGAATGTTCTTGTGAAGCATTTCCTGTGGTGACCTGAACATTCCAGTTCTGGGTGTAGTTCAGTACAGGGTCCAAGGCTGTTCTGTGTTGGGTGGATCGTCACGTAGAACTTGGTCAGTGCTGCGGAATGACTGACCTCCCACGTTTCTTTTTCGCTGTAGATCCAGAAGGTTATCCTGGCCCTCGGTGACTACATGGGTGCGTCGTGCCACGCCTGCATCGGTGGCACCAACGTGCGTAATGAGGTGCAGAAGCTCCAGGCCGAGGCGCCCCATATAGTGGTGGGGACCCCCGGACGTGTCTTCGACATGCTGAACCGCAAGTTCCTATGTGAGTGAATCTGCTAGTCTTCAGAGTTTGTGGTTGCAGCTCGTTGCGTTTGGGGGTTGGTGCTGGCTGGTCCCAGGATTCTGCCCAGGACTGTGTAGCCCTACTGATCTACTGTGTCCAGGCAGCCTGGTCAATCATAGTTGAAACCAATGACAAAATGGCAAGGGGAGAAGCTGCACAGATTAACCTTGAAGCCACTATGATGTGAAAGTGTTACGTTGTTTTTTTTTTTCCAGCCTGCTGTTGCGAGTTGAAGCATTAAAGTTTCTTTTCCCTGTGGTCTTAGCCGCCAAATACATTAAGATGTTTGTGCTGGACGAAGCTGACGAGATGTTGAGCCGGGGGTTCAAGGACCAGATCTACGAGATCTTCCAGAAGCTCAGCTCAAACACACAGGTGAGGGGCAGCAGGCGGGTGGCTGATTCCTCTCCTCTCGCCTCGCTGGGGCGTGAAAGGCCTCTCCCTGCTTACTGGGCAAAGGAGTGCAGACAGTGGCACTTGCTTAAATCTAGCAGGGGAAGAGGATGGATGTCCATTTTCATCCCAGTCACCTCTGTACAGTGAGGAATAGGCTGGTTCATGCCATGGACACATGTGGTTGGTTAATGGCTGAATTTGAACCTTTGTATGTGAGGTCCTGTTTCCTGCTTGATGACAATGTGGGTGCTGTTTCAAATGTTTCTGCGTTCTCTCAGTCTTTATTCCTAACTCCATGCTGGCCTGCAGGTGGTTCTCCTGTCTGCCACGATGCCGCAGGATGTGCTCGAGGTTACCAAGAAGTTCATGCGTGAGCCGATTCGCATCCTCGTCAAGAAGGAAGAGCTGACCCTGGAGGGTATCCGCCAGTTCTACATCAACGTGGAGAAGGAGGTGAGATTAAGGTGCTTCTGTTCTGGTCTGATCCACACAGACATGGTCAGGGCCCAGCCGTTTTGTGATGATCACCATGCGTGTCAACTGATCCCAGAAGCTGTCCTCGACTCCCGGCTGCCGGCCTGCGTTTTGCTGGCCGGCGAGCCTGGGGGCGAGAGGCTCTGGGGCTGTGATAAGGATGTCAAGGCTGAAAACGGCTCCCCTGATCATCTCCAGGCATTCCTGGGGTTTGGGGGGTTTGGGTTAAAGGTACTAGCTATCATAAACCAAGTCATTAGTAAAATCCTTTCCCCCCCAGTAGTTGGCAAGTCAAAGTCTAATTTTATAGTTTGAGCTGAAAGTGAAGCTGGTGTTTGGCTTCTGTAACCTTTGGTCAGTGTTTATGGGACCAGCCTTGAGCAAAATGTCCAACCACCTGATCCAGCTCTCTGCTGCCCCCTGCAGGAATGGAAGCTGGACACCCTGTGCGATCTGTATGAGACTCTGACCATCACCCAGGCTGTCATCTTCATTAACACGCGCCGGAAAGTGGACTGGCTCACCGAGAAGATGCACGCCAGGGATTTCACTGTCTCTGCCCTGGTAAGGAAACCTCGTGGTATAAACCCTCGTTCACCCACCTCCCCCTGCTTACTGGGCAAAGCTGTGTCCTTGTCTGTGGCACAGACTTGTATCTAGCAGGGGAAGATGAATCTTCTCCAAATTCATCCCAGTCGTCTCTGTGTGGTGAGGGCAGGACTGTTTCATGCTTTGGGGACACCATGGTCCATGTGACATGTTGACTGATCCTTGTATTGTGGGTTACAAATATCTGACTTATGTTGCCATACTGAGGCCATCGTCATGAAGCTCTTGTCCTATTTCTGTTGCAGCATGGAGACATGGATCAGAAGGAGCGAGACCTGATCATGAGGGAATTTCGCTCTGGGTCCAGTCGAGTCCTCATCACCACTGACCTCCTGGTGAGTCGGAAGCCTCCTGGGCTCAGCCAGGAGATGCTTGTCAGCCCAGAGTCGGGTTTTATGTGGGACCTCGAAGAGCTGGACTGGATCTGGAATTAGTGGTTCCAGTTCTTTGCTGGATCTGGTCTGCTGGTTTCTGCCAATGTTTCTTCGTGGGGAGATCTCAACATCCAAAGTTCCCTCTCCCCCCAGCCCATTTGTGCTGCGGGTGGAAATATGTGCTTTGGTATAGAATCCGTCCTGTTATCCACCGTGATTGGGCTCTGGGTTCCCCTTCACGACTATTAAATGGGTGACATTCTTCCTCTGGTCTGCCAGTTTATCAGTGGTCTGGTGTTTAAATGTACTCTGCTGTTATCCGCTGTGGTAAGAGCCCACCTTTAACACTTCGTTTTGTTGGGTGAAGGTGGCATCTCTGCTGGAGCCTTACTTTTGGATTGACTGTATACGGTTTCTTTCCGTTAGGCAAGAGGCATTGACGTGCAGCAAGTGTCACTCGTCATCAACTATGACCTTCCCACCAATCGCGAAAACTACATACACAGGTGAGTGGGGGTCCATGGGGGGGTTCCTTTAGGCCTCTTCCCCAGTGTCGGCGTCCATTCCAGCTCCGCATTCCTTTATTATGATCATTTGGTAGACTAAACATGCTGCTATTGATATCTGAACTCTCTTAGGAGACGTGGTGGATAGATCTGTTTTTGCAATATGCTGATGTCGCTCTCTTCCTGCCAGGATTGGCCGCGGCGGCCGTTTCGGCAGGAAAGGAGTGGCCATCAACATGATTACAGAAGAGGATAAACGTACGCTTCGGGATATCGAGACGTTCTACAACACCACAGTGGAGGAGATGCCCATGAATGTGGCAGACCTGATCTAGACGTCTGCTGCTGCCTTCCTCTTTCCTCCGCATTCCACTTTCTCCTGTCGTCCCTGAACCTGGATACCACACCTCACCGACTCAGACATTCTTCATATCTTCTGTAAGGGAACTTGGAACCCCCCCCCCCCAGTCTAGTCCATCAGCACCATTTAACGGTGGAAAGATACACCACCCCTCCCCCAATGAACAGGAAAGCCTTTTCTCATAACCAGCCCATGTTTCGATCTGTAGGCCATCTTACTGGTGCTGTTCTTTATAATTTCACGCACTGGTTATCTGTGCCTTGCCTTGTTGCAGTCTGCTGCACAACCCAAGGAGAGGGCGCTCATGTCAGTGTACGTGAACACGTTTTTATACACGACTTCCTGCATATTCAGATATTTCTGGCCAAAGACCTACTGACCTTCCCAATTCTCCTGTGTCATTCAATAGCAGTACAGTTTTCTGGAATGGAGGACGAGGCAAATGCATTAATGTCGAGAGCTTGGTCTTGTCAGCGCGTCTGTCTACGCTCGGCTGTGATATGCCTGTATTTCTATGTCATTTTTGTTTCCCCCCCCCCCCCCCCCAATTTTGGTCAATGGTTTTTCTAAACTTGTCCTCAAACCCAAGTGCTTTCAGTGTAGCCGTGTTGTCTGCGTGAACAGGGGGTGCATTCGCTGTGACCTACCTCACAAAAAGATGGAGGAGGACTGACGTATGGACCAAACTGTGAATGGTTGCATATTTAGAGAGTATAACATGCTTCTACAGTGTTTCTTTTTGGGGGGGGGATTGCCTGCCTCTTTGCTGGGGGGGAGGGGGAGGGAGGGGTTAGAGGTTAGCAGTGGATGGGTGGTCAGTGCTCTTTTTATATATATATATGAAATTTAAATGTGATGAAATTAACCCTTTGAGACGGAAGCAATGTATTAAAAAATTTTTTACATTGGATTCTGTATAGTATTTATTTTAAAGGTCTTAAATAAAACTTTGTTTTTACCGAAGTCACATTCCTTTATTTAACCAGTTTGCTGCATCTCCTTAGGCGAGCTGTATAATTTGGTCATCGAATTGGTCCAGTTTCCGCATTTCACTAGTTTTTACACTGGTTTTTGTCTGCTGTGTATATTACACGTCTGTCCCATATGATGTGGTTCGTCACCACATTTTGGCAGATGGTAACCCTGCCTTCACTGACTTTATACTGATCCGTTAACACAAAGCCAGATTTTCATTTTAACTTCCCAGCATAGCCAGGGAACATCAATCTTGACTTTACGCACCCAATGGGTAAAGTGATCGTCCTGAAACAGTGCTGCACGTTGGGTAAATTAAACCATGGTGTTAATGACAATCACACTGAAGAAAGAAGCTTCAGGTTTTTTTTGTTCCTCATCACAGCTTTAGCTTCTTTTAAGTTGTCAATTCAAGTGTATGTTATCTCATTTCCACACGTTTTGTCAATCTTTCATGTCACAATTATGAGAATTACGTTACACCTATTTCTGAAAAAATCACATTACAAGGACAGCGTTTCTTTTGAAAGTGTTAGGAGTATTGTGCTCTACAACCCTATCTTAGGGTCTGTATGTTGATATCAGTTTAAATATGAGGAATAACGATACAATCGAGTGTTTTTTTAAAGTGTAATTCAACATCACGTCCAGCAGAGGTCACTATTTGCGCAAGGTGGGTGCGTTTCTGGCCCTCAAAGCAAATGGTTCCTTTAGTCCCTTCTGCCGTGTCCGCTTATGCGCTAAGTGTTTCATGCTCTACACACAAGTTTTTTAAATCCTAACTGCCTTGCTGACTCGGGTATCTGATTCCATATTGCCAGTGATAGCTACTTTTAAATTCAAAGTTCAACAGTATATTCGTCTTTTGCTCACCCAGTCTCTCTTAGAGCAGAAATTATCATTTACATATGACAACTTATATTAAGTTGAAATAAATCAATTTAAATGTGTGTCTGAAAGCTAAGACTTTTCCTTGATTATATCCCAGTCCAAAGGTGTTTCCCTCACATTGTCACTGCACTAGAAACATTTTCCTTTCTCTTTTCCTCTAAGTCCACTCTCCCCTATCCTCCTTGTCCCTCCGAATATGTGATGTTCTATCATTCCGGTTCAGTGTAGGTGGCCCTTCAACCACTTTCACTCTGGCCGTAACCCCCACCGCCACCTCCCATTCCCCCCTGCTGGTTGCCCGATTGTGGACGGGGGAGATTATGCGAGTGGGAGGCTCGTAAAAGGCCTGCCAAGGTCTTTCTGCCCTGTGACGGATGGCTGGGAGACTGAAGGGACCATTTACATGAGAAGAGAGGAGAGAAGGAGAATAGAGGACTATTCAATCAGTCTGTCACAGAGCACTGAAGTACTTTCTCCCCCTCTCCAAGATCCCCAATTTTTTCTTCGGCTCTCCTCTTTATACCTTTTTTCCCTTCTGTTCAGCATTTTTCTCATCTTATTTCCCTTTTCTTTATTTTTTACTCCGATCTATCATTCCCGCTCCCTAGTTCATAATTTCATTTCGCTCCGTTTAAATTTTCACAGTGTTACCCCACTCAAAAGAGACTGTCATGCCGTTTAAATGTTCGGGGCATTATTGTCCTTTTCTCACGGCAAGTCGCGCACCATAACACGCACTTATAACAGTGACACGGGAGAGCATAGTTTATTACGTAACTCGGAGGTCTCCCATATTTTAGAGCACACCCATCTTTACGCATTACGGACGTCACAGACGTATTATTTTCGTCAATGGAAAATATTATAGCATTGCCTAAAGGAAGTAAAGGCTCGTTAGGAAACCAAGCCAAGAGGAGCGTTCCAACTTTGCAGTTTGTGGTGTGACTGATAAAACAACGAATACATTTTATTTATTTGACCACATAGGATATCAGACACTCAACTTGTCTGATATTAACAGCGAAGTAGTAATAATGTGCTTATTTACCATTAAACCTCATTAAGTTTTTACTTCGTCTTCGTATATGTTTCTTAATATCATTTGCATGCTCACAGTGTTTAAGTTCATTAAGATGAAGAACATTGCATGGTCAGTTGGTGTTTTTTCCGGAATATTAGCGTAGCAGCCCACGTAACATTTCGCTCGTGATTTCTGATGTGCAGGTGAAACTCACGGATTGTCGCCATTTAATATTTTATACATGCCTACCCGTTAATCTCTTGCTGGGATCGCCGCATTGTCATTGTTATGAAGGCTGTGAATTTGTCACTCATGCTAATGTTGGGTGGGAACAGAATGGTCAGGCTGCAGTGAGCCCGCGCACGGCCCTCTTCTCCTACTGAAATCTACCTACCCATAATCGGCGTGGATGGCGGCGACGGACATCAGCGCAGCCATTGCCAATTAACACCTTGTCAGCATGGCAGATGTGACTATACACGCCCAAAGAAATAGCCAAGGTGTCGGAATAATTACACCTAATGACCCCGAAACTGACACACAATCGAAATAACTTGGGTGGGGGGGTGCTTTCCGAGTCATCTCTATATCCAGAAAAGAATAAATTATGGCACGGGCTTACATCTAATCCTACATTATAGCAGTCAGCACAAAGAAGGAGGACTTCAAAGACTAACGTGGTAGGGTCATGTTTTGAGTATCCAGAAAGGAAGCAAACACAATATGGATATCATTATGGCCGAATTACTTTATAAAATTGATTAGCGAACAGGGAAATCCAATAAGAAACGAACTTCCCCAATAGCACATCACTTAAGATATGAGAAAAAGGGAAAAAAAATAAAACTTCGATAAACAAACAAAAAAAAGAAAACAGGACATGTCACACTGCATCGTGGTTCTGCACAGCAAAATGAGAAAAAAGAAGAACAAATCGAAATCTCAAGGACAGCAAGAGATGCCCCCGATCTGTGATTGGACCGATGCTCAGAAAGTGCAAGGAAGTTAGAAGTTTTGCCTGGAATAGAATTTAACTTGCATACTTTATTGGAATGAAATCCCTGTTGCAACTTGCTTTGCTTTTTACTTCAAGGGGTTAAACACAGAGAATTGCCACAGACAAAAGGAGGGTGAAAAGGATGGCGTGTTGTCCGTGTGTGTGGTGAAAGTAAGAGAGAGAGAGAGACAGACAGACAGACGCAGTGAGTGAGCCAGTGAGGGAGACAGTGAACGAGTGAGTGGGTGGGTGAGAGAGGCGAAAATTTCGAGCTGCATGGCTGTTTTTTGTTTAAAAGTTGGAAAAAAATAGACAAGGAAAGCTGAATAGAAAGAAGAGCGAGAAAGAGAGATGGAGGGGAGGGGGAGCCGGGAGAGATTCCAGAGCAGGTTGTCTTGGAAACAGAAACGGGAGAGTGGAGCCTCACAATCCCGGGTTTGATTGGCATCGGGGCGTAACTGTCAGTCATGCACAGAAACATACACAGACCCACACCTGCGCCTTTACACACACTCCTGCATATTTACGCCTGCGGACCGCGATCACGCATGGGGCTGGACAGGCCGTGGGCTTCTGTGCTGAGATCACACCTGTAGAACTTCCAGGACTTTGGTAGCATAGCTGAGCCACTGTGACACAGAGCGGCAGGACAGCCCTACAGCGGCATGCCAGTCCGGGACGATGCCTCGCTCAGCAAGCGCAGCTTCAAACCTAAAACATTCCCCTTTAGAATTATTTCTAACAAAAAATACTTTCTGTTTCTACTTCTCTCCTGTTTGTGAATTACTTTTCCCCTTTCATCTGACACCAGGTTTGGTAGTTCAGCTTATATCCATATTTTACCTTGTTAAAAGGCGTTTCATTCTCATACGGGTCGTAAATAATGTAAGCATGTTACACAACAATTTAGCTTAATTTCTATTTTGTCATTTGATGAATGCAAAAATGTCACCAGGGAGAAAACTTTTATTAACGAAAGATTCTTGCCCTGTAATGTTTGCATTGGCAAGTGTTGGCTAAGTTTAAATTTTCCCTTTGGCAAACTCCTGTGTATTTACAAGGTGAACCTGGGGGTAATTCCCTCCCTCGTGCACAGTTTGGTTAATTGTGTCACTCAGTTCTGAAACGCGATAAGAAGCAACTTCAAGTGTTTAAGCACTATTACAGATGTGAGGACAGCAATAACCTCCGAAACCAGAGCACGCTCCCACAAACACACACACAGACAGAGAGAGACATACACCACTGCTCCTGTACACGGCAACAAATACATTAACTTCGTGACTCATGCAGATTTAATTGCAACTTTCAAGATGATGTGCGCAGTTTTTGGTACTACTGGTTTGGAGTTTATTTTGTAAAAAATAAACATTTACTGGATCACATTATACAAAAGAAAGTCTTGAATAAGTGCATACTATTCTGTGTCTTGGTTCTCTCATTATAAAGCGGTTATTTTTATAATCCAGTTATAATGTTCAACATTTTAATAATATGCTCCAGATCTCTAGAGGTCGTTTAAATTCTGTGCACGACCTCTTTCTCATTGGGCGAAGACAGTGGCATGTATATGTGTCTGCCTGTGACGATGCTGTACCACAGGAAGCAGTCTGCTGTCCCTGGTCGCTGTTATCATTGTTTTACTGGAGGACCACTCTCACAATGAGAGCGCGCCGCGAAGTGCCGGCCATAGAAACCGCCTGGCGTAACGACGTATTAAGGAGGAGCAGATGATCGTCTCTCGCACCTGGGCTAATTACAGTAGCAATGGCAGCGGGACGCAAAAATACAAGTGGGGTGGGGGTAAGGGGAGAAGCCCCCCTGCTGCTTTGTAGAATATTTCATTCAGAGCTCTTTAACATCTCTGGTCTAAGAATTAGGCAGCTAAAGTAACCACTCATTTGAGACGAACCTGCGCAGACCCATGAACCCATTCTGTGTAGAAGTGAGTGTCTGTGTCTTGTGACATAAAGTTTCACTCAAAACTTGTTCTTTGATGACTCTGCTCTGTCTCACAAGTTATTTGCAACTTTACTGCCTGCCTTGGTTATTTAGGCAGGGTGAGTTTGAATAACTGTTAAATGACGAATTTCAAGTTACAAGTTTATTTAAAGCAAACTTCAGAACCTAACGAAAATGTATCATGATTATCATCAAACGAGACGTGTAGCCTGCACAGAAATAAGTGCTCTTCAATCCAAGAAGGAGAAGCAAAAAAATGGCAACTCTTCTAACACCAATTCTGGGGTTATTGAAACGCACTTGAAGTGTTCCTGTTTATTTCTCGAGTACATCAATACGCTTTGCAATGCAATGGCGGGTTTATATTTACGTCTAAAATACTTGTTGAGCATAAAAGAAGGGGGGATGAATTCCAAAGGAGTATGTGGTGTAGGGATTGTTAGTTTGCTTTTTTTACACGTAGATCTCTTTCCAGGGCGCTCGTCGCTTTCTGGATTCACCGCGCCCCTTTCTTCAGTGATGCAAATGAAGGAGCGCGAGGGAGCGGATTGGTTAAGCGCAGCGCACTATCATCACTAAAAACCCACATGAGAGCGAAAGGAAGAACTTTTTTTTGTCATCTTGCAGTTATCTTTACTTAATGTGTATCAATCCCATGCGAGCGGTTGACTGAACTATGTACGAGGGGGGAATAAGTTTAATCTGAATGAGCGTCTTTTTATAAAAACTTAAAGCAAACACTTAAGTTAGACTGTTGTCGCAAAGTTATATCACTTTTACGAAGACGTGATGACTGGTTGAAAACAGGTGAGATTTTGTGCGCGCGTATGGTTTTGATTGTGCTGCTGGAAGTCTGCTAGTTTTTGTCTGCTAGTTTATTGCGGAACTTTTTTTTTGTAATTTCAAATCAAGACGCGGGTGGCAGAAGCAACTACCTGCGGCTCTTCACTAGGTTTGAGATTTACAACTCTGAAAACGTGTTTTAAAGATCCTAGTCAGAACTGATAGATCAGCCTATAACTATGTATAGCATGATGGAACATGAACTGAAACCTTCGGCCCCACCACCCTCGCACCAACCCGGCCAAGGGATGTCTCCAGTAAACGGCGGGGTGGGTGGCAATCACCCAACAGCCAAATCGGTTTGCCCTCCCGGTAGCGACCCTATGGACAAAGTGAAGCGGCCTATGAATGCCTTCATGGTATGGTCACGGGGTCAGAGGCGGAAGATGGCCCAGGAGAACCCCAAAATGCACAATTCAGAGATTAGCAAGCGTCTGGGCGCAGAATGGAAGCTGCTGACGGATGCGGAGAAGAGGCCTTTCATAGACGAGGCGAAGCGGCTCCGAGCGGTGCACATGAAGGAGTACCCAGACTACAAGTACAAACCCCGGCGCAAGAGCAAGCCGCTCTTGAAGAAGGACAACCCTGTCAACAAGTACCCGCTATCCGCCGGCAACCTGTTGGCTGCCGCCGCCGCACAAGGACCTGGTGGGAGCCCCAGAATGGAGAGCTATGGCTGGGGACCCACTGGGGGGTATGCGACCATGCAGAGTGAACCACTCGGATACCCCCAGCAACTCCATCGCTACGACTTGTCGGCCTTACAGTACCCCCCGTCAATGGCCCCCGCACAGACATACATGAACAGCGCCAACTCATACAGGTGTGTATCACTGGATTTTTTTTACTCCATTTTCTTAAAGATTTAACCTTTTAATGTAGCTACATTTCAGCAACCTTTTTTTCCACTTCAAGGATAAGATTAAATCTGGATATTAAAAACCCGATAATCTCCTATATAGTACTGTTTATTGGTATCGCTAAATTACTACCGAAAAAACATTGTACATTACACGTATTTGTTATAAAATACAATGAATAAAAATGTATGAATGTATGTCATCAGTCAAAAATGGAAAAAGTCCGACATTAAACACAAATGTCGAAATACTCGAATTTTTGTTTGCCACGTATTCTGTAGTGTCTTTTTATAAACATTAAAGCACTCCCTGCTTTATATCTACTGAATAACGAGTAATACCAAATAAATTAATTAAACGGTCGAATTAATGTTTACATTTTTGAATTGAATTAATTTCTTTTAGGAAATTTATTATATGGGGGAAAAATCCATGTTTTACCATGCAAATTCATTATTTTTCGGGAATATATGTAATATATTTTTTGTCCTTTCCAGAGCAAGATTTCTGTTCCCAGTGCTCTTTGATTAAAAGATCTTAACAGAATATTATGCCCTTATTTGTGTATGATGTGATCCAGTAAATTAACCATGTTTTATGTGGTTAATATGCCTATAATGTGACAAAGTTCTGTCTGCCTCTGCTCTCAGGCTGGTGTATTTCAGCTATCCAGCTGCGTTTTCCTCTTTCAAGGAATAATTTGTTCTAATGGAGGTTTAACTCCTTGTACAGACTATAACAGTTAAGCAGAAGTGGCTTGGATGTTGTTGGAGTAATAGGGTACTAACCAAAGTCCTGTGACTAATGTAGAAGTCGCCTATATATTTCTGTCCGTAAACAGACTGCTAACGATTTAGCTGGACAATCTCAGAGTTTAAACTGTGTGAGTGACATAAACAATGGATGACTTCCCAAAAATACATTCTAACAAATTAACCCAGAGCATTCAGTGTCTGTGGTAACTTTTTACTGCTTAAAAGCAAAAGTTGGCGGGGAGCTGTGAATGGGCTAAAAATGGTGGCCTGGGTCATCTTGTGTTTTGGGGCCCAGTAGTGTTGCTTTTCGAAAAGAAGGTGGCGGCGGAGAGTGTGGCTGTGTGGTAGGTTCAGCCCCCCCCCCACCCCATCAGCAGCCTCGCTAGAGAACCATGTTTGTGGCTCCGGAAAACGTGTCGTCCTGTGCGGCAGATGAATTTGGAGTGTATCTTAAGTATCTTATGTTTGAGTTACACACACAATATATTTCTGTGTGTGTGTGTGTGTGTGTGTGTGTGGGGGGGGGGGTGTCAGAGTTGATTAGCCATGTATTTACGCTGCATGAATGACCTTCCTTCCACCCCAATTCTTAGCATGTGCAGTGTGCATCTCCCCAGCATTCGCTGTTCATACACACTGAACTGTCCCAGCAGAAGATAAATATCTGCCCTCCATGCTTCCCCCCCCCCCCCTCGGCTCCCTCTGCACCTCGACGTCGGCTGTCGTAAGAGCTGCCCATTCACTTGTTGCTATAGATCACCCTCCATGTCATGTAATGTAGCTCATATCCCGCGTCAAATGGAGGTGTTAACCACATGTTCCTCTTAACCGGCACAAACAATATCGTCACTGATCAGTGATTAATTGAGAATAGCAATATCGTGTGATTGCACACATGGGTATAAAGTATAAAGCCTTGTTAGCCATTGAAACTTTTTATTTTTTTGTTTGTGGGGTCCGGTGTGTTGTCTGGCATATGGCTATAGTTTCAGCTTAATTGTATAACAGTGGCTGTCATTTAAAAAAACAGCCGGTTCCCCTGTGTAAGGACTTCTTGGTGCGCGGTTAAAGGCAGAGGCTGACATCGTAGTTGTTGACCGCGCTGATTCCCCACTTTATAACTGGTTTAATATTAACTGGTTGTTCCCGTCTTCAGCCTTCACCTTGCACACATACATACATACATACACATATAAATATAAATAAAAATAAAGAACATAAGAACTATACAAATGAGAGGAGGCCATTCGGCCCATCGAGCTTGCTTGGGGTGTATGTATGTATATGTATATTTTTATGTATCGTGCCACTTTTTACAATAAGACTACTCGTATAAAGAGTTTATGAATGGTTTATAATCTGGTTATTAATTAGGTTGTAGCACTTTGTGAATTAATAGACTATTTCTTTTTATTAATAAATTATTACCATTTACAAGTGGCAAAAGGGGGTCTTATTGTAAAGTGGCACCGTATATTATAGTTTGTGTGTGTGTGCATTATTATATACAATACACTATATTGTCATGTGTTCTATACCTGGGAATATGTGCTACAATGTCTGCATTTCTCTCTGGAAGTTACCATTTAATACAGCCTAATAATGTATGATTAGATACTGGCTCAGGTGGTTCTGTAGCTATCTGCTTAGTGCATAAATGTTTTGTGATTCCACTGCTTCTGGTGGTGTGTTTTTCAGTGTTTTTATATATATGTATGCATACAGTGTGTGTGTGTGTGTGTGTGTGGGGATATATATTTATCTTGTAGCTTTGATGTTGTGCAAGTTGTTACTTGACTCTCCAGTTTGCCAGGAGAGCTTGTTCGTTAATGTCAGCTTTCCCTTGCTTTACAGCCCCATGTCCTACAGCAGCGGCGCCCAGCAGCCCAGCCCGGTCATGTCCATGGTGAAGCCGGAGGCCGTGTCGGTGTCACACTCCCCCACCGGAGCACCCAATCACCACCGCGGGGCCCTGCAAGGGGACCTCCGCGACATGATCAGCATGTATATTCCGGGGAGCGACGCGGGGGACTCTGCCGCGCAGAGGGGGTACTCCAGCGTACAGCAGCACTACCTCGGAGGCACGGTGCCGCTCACCCACATCTGACACGCCTCGGCACTGGGGACTGACCCGGCTATGCGCACACTGCGCCACAGTGTTGGCTGCACCTTGAGTTCCCGCTGCCTGTGTTTTGGGGGCCCCTTTTGTCCATTTCATTTTTTTATTGCATATGTAGATTTAAAGGGGCAGCCGTTTCCTGTCTTTGAGTGTGTATTTTTGCTGTTCTATTAGTAGACTACTGATATTTTCCTCTTACTTAATTTTATGGATTTTTATCGCGCCCCCCCCCCCTCCACACACACACTTTGAAGGTGTATATAGCTTTCTGTGTCGATATATATTTTTTATTAATTTCCGTACTAAAATTGTGACTAAAATGATTGCCTTGGTGAGGATGCCGCATTGTTTGGTGCACAGAGACGCCACTGGTCTTCCGACAGTGAGCTGCTGTCCTTACCGGAACCCCACCCTGAGGCAGGAGAAGCCCCCGTCACCTGTGCAGGATGACTTCTCATGGAGTGGCGAAGGCCAGCCAATCGGGATCCTTCCATGCACTGACATAGCGATCATGTGATTTGGCTGGATCTGATTAAGAGCGGCGAGACTAGGAGAGACTGCATGGGCCACTGGAAAGTCTGAACTGAGATTGTACAGAATATTATTTGTGTCTTGACTGTAGTGAGAACAAAGAGAACGGTTAAATTTTAATTGGGCCTTTTGGCCTGTGCTGTTTTACCAATTGGGGGGAAAAAAACACCAATTCCGAAGGATTCCATTAGGAATTTTTTTTACTGGACAACCTTTATTGTAGATTTCACTGGATCCAGCTGAGATATAGATAAAGGTATTAGACTACAATATTGTTTGCTGTTACCACAGGAAGAGACAATAAAATGTATTTTAATATACAGTGAACTTTTGCATCATGCTGTCTTGCTGCTGCAGTCTGAGTTTTATTTTAAGTTTTGCATATTGGCATTTTCTTAAGGCACAAACAGCCAGTTAATGTCGGTTGCTTTGGTAAAGTCCACTAATAGCTTTTGACTGGAAAATGCACTATTTTCTAAAGTTGCAGGCTCTACCAAGACGACATTTAGTTAGATGGAGATACTGTGTCACAACTCTTATTTTTTATTTTTATTTTTTTAAAAACCCTTTCCTTAACTAGTTCAGAGGTGCTGCTAATGATTTTGAAGTAGTTGAGGAGTATAAGAAATTTAGTGGAGATTGGAATGGTACCTGTATTCCTTCATGGATTGAGTGGATTTTTAAGACTTAATGGCCTGCTAATCTGCTAATTGATTAACTCGATGTCCTAAATTCCAGGGGCGCTGCACTCCATTCCAACATAAACACTTGCTTGCCTTTTCCTTTCTGCTACTTATTTAAACAAAACATCAAAAGGGGGTCTAAGTACTATAATTTATATTAAAATAATGAAACAGGTGAATGTTTACATTGCAATCCAAGTGTGCAACTGCATATATTTTTTGTATTGTAAACTTTAAAAAAAAAAAAACATGTTTCCCGATTTAGTTTGTTAATAATCCTGAGCTTGTAAATAGTTTGTGAGACTGATGTCTTGCAGTTCTGAAGTGTATAGCTTGTTTTTCCCTTTTCTCTCTTATGCCCTTATACTAAGGGCGATTTTGTTTTAAAGAAACCATTTAAAGACTGTGACAATTTGATGACAAAAAAGTAATAATAAAAATGTAAAATATTTCTAACCGTCTCTACATTTCTTTGTGTATTTTGAAAGTCTGTGAATGAAATGTCCCAGTAGCAAACTGTTGATACATTAGTTATAATTATGCGATTACTTAATTTAACCTCATAAAGGAAAAAAATCAGAAATCCCCCTTTGTTATTAATTAACAATAAATCTGGAACCGGGGATAAAATGTTGTAAAGAATCATTCCGAGAAGTGGCTATTGCCCAAGACAGTCGAACAGAATTTAAACAAATGTGTACATATCTAAATTTATTTATAGCCTACAATCAACAATAATTATTGTGTTATGTGTTACGAACGCATTTAGTATTTAACATAACTTCTGGTTTATTTGGTTGTTAAGTAATACTTGGCACAATTGCACCTATTTACGTTTAGTTAAATAGATATAATCAGTAGTCATAAGCAGCTTATTTGGGTAGCTTTTCCGTGAATTAGTATTTAGCCTATAGAGGTGGATATGCAAGCTGGCCTAACGCTTCATTTAAAAGTTGTTGCGGCACCTGGGTGGTTCTAGCTGTCCGTCCCATTCACAAACCAGATGTTCAAGCAAAAAAATTAACCAACTCGTTTTCAGAGCGAAGGTGAAAACCAGTTAGTCTGTGTTTCGGGTTCAACTAACGCCTGCTGAAGCAATGACTGTCAGGCATCCTAAAAAGTTCACAAAAATGTTGGAGAGAACAGGGGTGTCCGGGCGGGGGAGAAAGGTTTAGGGGGCAATCATTACTTTCTTCTCTCCCTCTCTTTTAAATTCACTTTTTCTATCCCCCACCGCCCCCATGCTGCCCCCTCCCTCCTTCTCAGAGAAAGCGGGTGGCTGGGCCAGCCGTAATTGGCCGTTTCGGAGCCTCATTGTCCGCCGCTTTTGAGCTCGCAGGTGCATATAGTAAAGCCGCTGAGTGCTCAGCGCCTCCCCCGTCGCGCTTTGTTCCCTTTCTCTTGGTATCCCGCCGGGCAGAAAATTAGCGTTGGATTCGGGGGGCTTCGCCTCCCTTCTTTCTCCAGTCCTGGCTTAACCCTTTCACTGCTCCGCGCCTTTCTCATGGAAATTGGGGAGCCAGCACCGGCTAATCGGAGGCCAAGGGGAGGGGATGGGAGCAGGGGAGAGGATGGGAGTCCTGAGGGGATTGGGGGGTTATAAACACACACTCCCATCCGCGCGTCCAGCACCATCCCCCTTGACGACATAAAGTCCGTTTCCCCTGGGAACCCCCGCTGTAATGCGGGCAATGAATACGTTTCTATAACTCCCGTGTAGCCCCACTTCCAGCCGATTTCTGTTCAAGTCAGTGCAACGCAGCGCCTGTCCGATAAATGGATACCTAAGTAGCTGTTTAATAATCTGTGACATAAAAGATCTAACATCGACGTTGATATTCATATTAGGTATTCTGTTTCTCAGTAGCAGCCTGCATTTATAGAGATGGTATAGTGTTCCTTATAGGGAAATGCAGTGTTTTGGGCAACTGCAACAGAAAAGGAACTACGATCTAAACACGTCAGGCCTACAATTAGGCTATTAAATCCCATATTGACATCAGTGGTGATTTCTCGTGGCGCAGTACATATTAGCAGTATCATCTGGAAGCAAAACTTGACAGCAAAGAATAGGACGCCAATTTTGCATACACTATAATGATCCCCACAAAATTAAAACCTTAGGAACTTCATATTTAGCAACAATATTCCCATAGTGTTCTCCACTTCGAGTGGTATTTATATTTTTACTAGCTGGAGTACATGGAACCTCATAGCAACGTGGGGAGGCTTTGACGAGTGGTTACTATGGTTTCCGTAAGCTGGGGTAAACAAGGGCGCACGGTCGTGACTTGGCTGCGTGGTATAGAGAGGTTTGCCCTCCTTTTAAAAAGACCGACAGTACATTGGGGTAACACAAGCACCGTAGAGACACTTTTTAAAAGATTTGCTTCACATGCAAGTATTGATTTTATATCGACTTTTGTACATTCGGCACAAACAGCATTATATTGGAATCTGTTCGATCCTAAATGTGGAATGTTTTATTATTAATAGTTTTAAAGAACAAAAGAGAAATAATACACTGGTATTTCCTGTTGCGTATGTAAAATCCACATTGCTAACCCGCAACCCCGGTTACTATGGTGACACGTGCGTGACACGGGCCTACCTGAATACCTGACGAACCACTCCCCGCACTGTAAAAGAGCCAGATCCGCAGCAACCTATTGCGTACAGTACAGAGGCTAAAAATTATCCCATTGCATCATACGAGGTGCACAAACGGTACTACAGATTATTTCAGACAAATGTCAGTTTGCCTTAGCAAACTTAAAGGTGAAAGTTGTACAATATTTTGGATAGCACGCAGATTTCTGTAAATATTGGTATTAATAACATCGGAACAAAGTTGTTTTTTATTTAACTGTATTATGGGAAATCTAATCGTTTTAACTTCACAGTTATTTAACGACAAAGCTGTGATTGGTGGGCCAGAAAACAGACAAACCGATGAATAGTCAGCTGTGCCACTTTAAAGGTGACATGTAAATGTAAATGTTTCAGACGCACAGATATGTAAACTTTCCTTTGATTAGCTATATAAAACTCAAATCTTCTTCCTCCAATACTTTCTGACACATCTAGTGCAGTTAAAATCAAAGTAGCACTCCCTGGCATGCGTGCCTATGCGGTGGATGCTTTGCTCAGAGGTGGTCGGGCGAGTGGGCGGCTGTTTTTAGCGGAACGCCGCCACGGTCGATGGCAATGTCACTGAACGCTGGATCCGCCGTGCATTTCACACGCAGCCCGACGGCAGCTGCGCGCGCCGAGTCACGCAAGAACTGGGCAGTGCACCGTTCCGCGCGACAGGGCGCGCGGGCAGATGTCTCTGATAAGCACAGAATGTCTGACATTTACAAATATTATTTGCATGCTTTTAGCTGCCTTGTCAGAATTGTTATGTTTGGAACTAGCTACTTTTTTTTTTAAAGTGATAGGTTAGGGAAGGAGGTTTGTTTGGATATTTTTAAACCCCAGGACGTAAACAAGTTGGGGTATGCCATAATAACCACTGTAGGTGGAATACATGTTCGTCAGAGACGTACCACATCTGAAAATCAGGCAGATTATTTTAATTGAATCCTAGATTCAATTAAAAATAAAATAAAATAAATATATATATATAACGTTTTAAACTGTATAATGTTTAGATTAAAATAAACAATTTTTGGCTGGCGTAAATCTAAGAATACCAACGCCCGCCGTAAAATCGTTCTTGAAGCTACAAAAGACAGCCACACCAAGACTTTCGTAACACTTTTAAGCGAAGGACAACGATGCCTGTAATGTCTGAGACTAACTATTTTGCTCATCTTTACCCTCGCATTGGACGGCCCGTACTGTTCCGTTAGACCGGTTTTGCCTGTCATTTACCTGCGTGACCGGCTTTTGGGATGAACCAGGCTAATAACCGGTCAGCTGTACTCAGATGTAAATGCGGCAGTTACTCGTCTGTTTTCCGCCGGCATCCTTATGTCCCCGTAGCATCCAATAATGTTGCGTCGGAGGGAAGCAGCTCAGCAGTCAAACTTTGGAAAGAACGAGCACGTGATTATTGTAAGAAGTGTGGCAAAAATCCTGCATTTGCAATCTTTGCCTATGTCTGATCAAGCTTCTCCAAATCACTAAACAGGCGTCAAGTCTGATATTGTCTGAATGATTTTCCTCAGTGTTTTTGTGAAGCATTTATATTATCCCATCTAAATTAAAATAACACGGTTATTTTTTCCAGGGGTCAGCACCATGGAAACTTATGACAAATGATTAAAATCACTCTTGTCCATGTACGGACAGGTTGACATCCTCTAGTTTTGTTACTGTACCAGTCCTGACAATGATTCGATAATTGGAAATTCGTGAAATATTCAGTCGTTTAATACAGGTCATGAGTAGTATCGTTAACTGCTGGTCTAGGTGATGTTTCACGCCGTCTAAACCGATTCTCCGTGTTGGCCACAGGCATCTTCCTCTACACCTCGGGTAATGTCGGTGAAAATACGTAGATAAGTGTAACTGAAGTGGTACGATGGCTCAGTGGGCAGTTAAATACATTAAACCTCAAGTCTCAGTTCTTTCTCCTCTCCGAGTTCTTTTTCTTGTGATTTTCCCCTGTGCCATGCAGGTTCCCTCCAAATGCTTCAGTTTCCTCCTGCAGACCACCATGGTCAAGTATGGTGTCTGCGAGTTGCCTGTAGTATACGTGTGTGCCCGGTAAACGTGGGGTACGCCTGCCATGTGCTTGGAGCTGCCTGTGATAATTGTCCAGGCCCCCCATGTTCTTGCGATGAATCGGTGGTGGAAGATAGCCAGAAGGGTGACTGGGGAGATATCACTCTTTACACTACTTATACATACAGAATGCTAAAGAGTTGCAAAGTTCCTTCCTGTTGATCTGTGAACTCTGCTTACATAAGAAATTTAATTCAGGGCCCAGATAGCTCAGTTGGCAGACCATCAGATTTTTAAGGTCAAGGGTTCAAGCGCCTGGTTAAGTGGATGTCCGTATAGAGGCCTACAATACAATATTTGTTTGTGGGAAAGACCCAGTGGATGAAAAATGATTTGGTGCTTTTGGGGGGCAGGGTGTGGCTAAGTGGAAAAGGACACTATGCCCATCACCAGAAGGTTGTCAGTTCAGATCCCACGGTTGGCCTAGTTATTTCACCATAGGGCCTACGAGCAAGGCTCTCACCCCCAAATGCTGCAGAGACTGGTTGTCCCTACTTTCTCAATTGTATGTTGCTTTGGATAAAAGTGTCTACTAAATGAATAAATGTAATTTACATGGTATATAGAACAGGCTGACATACAGAATGTCCTGGGATTATTGCAACTTTCAGAGTGAACAGTAGACTCGGCGCCAGAAACTACTACCAGCTGTAGCCTGTCTGACGGAAAAGACAAGTTAGGCCAGAGTAATGTAGCTAATCGCACAGCTGTTTGCTAAGCACTGAGTGACAGAGTGACAGGTAACACTAATGAACAAGGCACACCCTGGACGAGACTGGTCCCGCAGAGAAAGAGAAGGGGATCAAAAGGAAAAGCAAGTCAGGTGAAAAACAGTTTTATAGAAACACACCCCAACAACAGGAACGTATAAAAGTCAAATTGAGTGCTTGACTGAGAAAAAGACAGTAGGCTAAGAGAAGACTGCTGCAGGGGTAGACAGAAAGCATCCATCTTCTATCCTCTAATCCCAGTCAGGTAGCCCACCTCAGACGCAGGGCACAGGCTGGATTTCACCCTGCACAGGATACCAATCCATCACGGGGCACACACCCACGGACACATAATATGGACAATTTGTCTTTGGACTCTTTGAAGAAAGCCGTGTGCCACAAGGAAGACATGCAATCTCCACACGCACCGTGGGGCTGGACCCTGAACCTGTAACAACCTCCCATAGTGCAATAAACTAAATAACTGAAATTGGCGTCTTGGTCATTGTTAGGAAAACGTACACACACATATGAGTGGCCTGAGAAACTCTTTGAGGCCTAAATTAAAAATAGAAAAGAGAACGGTGTTTTTGTCCAGAGACCTGACCTGGGACTTGGAAAGAGCCAGCGACGGCATATAAAAGGACTGCTGCAATCAGGAGATGATCCAGTCACCAGACATCAGTACAAAGGTGTGGACCGATGACAAGATAGTAAATGTAGTCCTCATCAGACCAGCAGGTAGATAAGCACTGGGCCACACATTAGAGAGACCTAAAGTATGTCTCAGACTCTGCAAGCTAATCTCAGTGGCCTGAATCAAAACTAAACTTCAATCACAGACCTCACAGGGTGATGTTGTGAATTGTGAGGCCAGGACAGACTTTTCCGTCAGCCTCTCATCCACATAATCTACTTTCTGCATCTTCAACATGTTTCTTTTTTTAAAACTACTATTATTCACCCCTTTTGCTGTTTCCTTGTTTACTTTCTTACATCAATGTTTTGGCATAGGGCCGCATTCCTTGCTGCATCCTACATCCTACTCTTTACTTGGGGGAAAAAAAAAAAACATTGCAGAGAGTCAGGAGAAACGGAGGGGGGAATGTCGGGGGGACAAGAGGAGAGGCGAGAGAGAGGCAGAAGGAGAAAGACCTTTCTCTTTCGCCTCTGGGAACAGCCTTGTTTTAAAACTTTGGCAATGTAGTTACCATGGAGAAATGCTTGTGGGTGGTGTGGGTGGAGGTAATTATGGGTGTGTAGCACTTTGTCTAATAAAAAAAAAAGAGGAAGGGGAAGGTCTGAGATATTTCACCTGGAGGGGACAGAGAGTTACAAATAAACACACAGAACAGACAAAAAGAAACATTTAGAGGAGAAAGAGATCCAAAAATGGGATGCAGTGTTTAAAACACACAAATGTTTAGAAATAGTGTATTTGACTTAAAGAAGATGATTCGTCGCTGAAGACCATAAGAACTACTAACCTGAGGGCACTTGGCATTTCACTCAAGATCATTCATGCAGAGACAGAATGTAATTAAGATGGTAGTAAACAGGATCTTTGCTTCTATCTAGTGGCACAAATGTGAATCACATCAGCTTCTGCACATCCGTCAGGAAGGCGGCCCACTTCCCTTCACTTCCCCTCTTCTCATTCTCATCAGTCCCCCTTGCATTCAGCAAGTCAATGACTCAACAAATCCAAGAAACAAAGAAACCTTTTACTCCACTGGTACCAAAAAGAGGAAATGTCCACAAGCATGTGACCTGATTCAGGCTGACCCACTACAACAAACCTTAAAAAAAAATAGTCCTGTACAACTGACATACTATACAGCAGTAGTTCAAAAATACTTGACCAAGGCATAAACTTTATTTCCAATATCATCCTGCATTATATATATTTTTCCTTTGTCTTTACAAATTTTCCCAAGTAGATAGATTGGTTCTCTACACTTGTGCATGATGTTGCTGGAATGCCCTCTCATACTATTTAAATGGACCCTTATGCAAAATAATAATTTCATAAAAAAAAAAACACAAAATAATAGCACCTTCATTCATCACAAACAAGCATACAGGTGCATTTTGCTACGCATATTGACACTCTGAAAATTTGCTTCCTTCAACAGTTTTTGGGAAAAAAAAAAAACATAGGACAAAAATCTTAAAAAGTCTATGTGTCTGTAGCTCACGGAAGTTTTACTTACACAAAAATGTTCTGAGGGCAGAAGGAACAATTATTGGTTCAGTGAGATAGCCAATCAAACTGTAGAGGAGGTGGGTCCAACCAAACAGATGTCTTGGTCCTGCTTCTGTTAGTTTCTTGGGCCCATCTCCTCTACAATTTGATTGGTTATCTTTCTAAACCAATCATTGATCCTTCTGCCCTCAGAGCATTTTTGTGAAAGAATAACTCCCACAAACATGCTCTTCTAGAAATGATTCCTATACTGTCTTGAATACACCATGAGGGTTCAGTCTTACTGATTTATCAAGATACAATGATGAGACTGTAGTAGATTCCACTTGGTAGTTGGGGAACGGGAGAGAATGGGAGATACTCCAGCGCCGGAGCTAGTGCACAGAAAGGGCTCAAGTACAGGAGGTCCTGTGGCAGAATTAACCAAGGCGGGTGCCCGACTGAATGATCAGTCAAGGCCCTCAACTGCTGAGTGTACTGCTGAAGTCCATGGTTACAGTTTTGGTCCTGAGTTGTTGGGATTTGCGAAGTGTGTGTGTGTGTATGTGTGTTGGTGCTTGCATCTTCCACCTCCCTCTATTCTTTCTTCTTCTTAACAGCAGGTGTTCGGTTCCAGTAGTAGACCACCTGACCAGCGATGAGACCATTGCAGCAGGAGGAGATGACGTAAGTCAACGCCATCAGGGAATCTCCCGTTTCCTTCAGTGAGAAAAACGAGTGGCAGATAGATGGGATTAAAAAAACAAGGTTACAGGTGAAAAAAAATATGTGTGCAAACAAAATTCTCTGCTCAGGGCCTTTTGCCAGTATGCACACCAGGTTCCCCTACCTGCAGGGAGGTGAAGATGCGGGCAAGGGAGCCGGCAAACAGGAGGAAGACGGAGATGGCTGACAGCTGACCTGTGTGACCATTACGATAGTTTGTTCCTGCCTGGATGAGCTGGAGTGACAAAGAGAACCCAAGTAGAGAACACACTGAGGGGTAGTTTACAATCTGTGCGTGTTTCCTGGCATTCGAACCCATGACCGTTGTGTTGCTAGGGCAATGCTACTTATTGAGCTACACGAGCTGAGAACATAAACCTGATTTTAGAATTAAACTGATTTTATGCAATGATAAAAAAAATAAATAAATAGCCGATACAGTTTGTGCTCAGAGAAAACAGTTACAAAATAGCTGAGGGCTGGTTGTTATCGGTAAAAGGTGTCAATTCTCCATGAAAGTAAGAAAAATCTGCTTTCTTATATATTTCTCACAAATATGACCAAAGGGGATAAACTTAAAGCAAACGGTAGGTATCTACATTCAATTTGCCATCCATGAACAAGACACGAAGACCAGAGGGAAGTGTATCGATGAGGATTTAACAGAAGTCATTCATTCCTAAGCATCATCACAGCAGACTGGTCTCATGTGCCATGAGCCAGACAGTACTAGAACCTTCTTTCAGCTGAACTGGACATCGCTGCCGAGTACCTCTAGGGCCGTGCGGTTTACATACCCTGCCCACGATGACAGCGGGCATGTTGGAGGCCTGCATCACTGTGAGCACGGACAGCGGCGTGAAAGGTGACAACAACAGCAACGACAAGGGGAAGTAGGCGGCCAGGAAGCCCACACCTGTGTTAAAGGGGCCAGAGCAGGCGGCTTTCAGAAGGGCTCCGCCCCGCACTCCCGCGCACACAGCCCCCCCCACATGCTGCCAGCGACAGGCGGTACCTCCGGCTGTGTTTGCTCTGTAGTGCTGGATGAGGAAGCCGATGGTCACTGTTTGCAGCATGAGGAAGAGGGCCTCACCCCAGGAACTGCAAAACAGACCAAGGCAAGGCAAGTCTGTTTATATAGCACAAATCAGACGCAAGGCAATTCAAAGTGCTTTACAAAGGCAGAAGGATACATTTAAATAAAAGACATAAAAATCTAAAAATAATTTTAAAAAAAATATATGTTATGGCCAACCGTGTCGAAAGCAGCACTGAGATTCAGTAATACCAAAACTAAGATTTTTGATTCATCACTGCTTAGATGAATGTCATTTAAGTAAGTAATTTATTTATAAAGCGCTTTTCTCAGACAAAAAGTCACAAAGCGCTGTACAATAATGAAACAAAGTAAAACAGGGAAAAGAATAGAAAACTTAAAAGACTCAGTATGAAACATTACACAAACAAATACCATAAAAAAAAAGCCATAAAAAACACAAACATAAACAGAAAATGAGATCTCTGAGTAAGACTTTAACAAGTGCAGTCTCAGTGTTGTGGTGTGGTCAAATCCAGACTGAAAAAGCATTAAAGTAATTGTTTTGCACCAAGAAAGAACTAAGTTGCTGAAAAACAACATTTTCAATGATCTTTCCTAAGAAAAGTATAGGCCTAAAGTTACTTATTACTGAGGCATCTAGGTTGGGCTTTTTTAGAAGAGGTTTGATAACTGCAGTCTTCAGGACCCTTGGAAAAAGGCCTGACTGAAGAAAACTATTTACTATGTGTAGTACATCTGATTCTATACAGTTAGAACCATCCTTAAAGAACCTTGTGGGCAGAGTGTCGAGGCAGCAGGTTGCAGGCCTAAGGTGTTTACCGATTTCTGTTAAGGTTGCATGGTCTAGGAGTTGAAAATGTGCCAAATTAACTAAAGTAGTCTTAGGCAGAGGCACATGTGACATCAACATTTTGCCCAAGATGGAATTACAGACCAGCACAGAAACACATGCTTGACCTCAAGGGAGAAAGTATGCAGCCGGGACACTGGGCGGAGCGTCAGTTTCCCGTGCGATGTGACCTGGCTACAGGAGGTTAATGTGACTTTCCTGTAGAGGGACACTACTGCCACACAGTGTTCAAGAGTAGCTCCAAGTGGCTAAATGCAGTGCAGATATATTTACACCTGAAATAAACAATGTTGATGTGTGGTATTAATCCACAGCTATTATTGTTGCTCTGCTACTAAACTAAAAGTATATAGCTTGACATTCTAGCATGAAATTTTGGTTACTTAATTTTGGGGTGCTTATCTCATGAAGGGAGCCAAGTAATAAGGCAATGTTTTGTATATAAGCAGTACTCATATATATGCATCTAATTATAAAAAACTGACTTGTTATTCCAAACCTTTCACTAATTATAATAACCAAAAGTAGCAAAAAAAACTGCTCACAAAATGAAATTTGATTATGCAAAATCTGACCACACAAAAAAAACTTTCCTGTTAGCTACAGTTGAGCAATGTAACTGTATAACTGTAATTATTATTTATTTATTTTGTGATTATTTGTCATTGTTGACACACCACAGCACACAGTGCACAACAACGAAATGTGTCCTCTGCATTTAACCCATACGTGACTTTCGTGACATAGCAGGGGGCAGCTAATTCAGCGCCCGGGGAGCAGTGCTTGGGGGCGGTACCTTGCTCAGGGTACCTCAGTGGTGTCTTGCTGGTCGGGGATTTGAACCTGCCATCTTCCGATTACGAGTGCGCTTCCCTAACCATTAAGCCATCACTGCCGAATTCTAAAATTCTGTAATTTCTCATGAGAAAACACACACAATTATGATTGGATTTTTGGTATGGAAAAGGCACTATATCTCAAAAGGGAGTAAAAAAATAGACTGTGCTCTGGAAGATATGTGCAAGTTACTGGTACATACCAAATTACATCAAAGTCAAAAATGGTGATGCTATTTTTTTTTTTGGAAATTTGCTAAAATAGAAGGTATACAGACCCCACCTCTGTTTAACATGCTGCTGATGGGTGATACCTGAAGGGGAATTTGTGTGCGATGCAGTAGGCCATGGTGCCAGTGATGGCGAACAGCTCCAGCAGGACGGCATTGAAGCTCAGCCCTTCCGCACTCTTCGCCCCAATCAACTTGCAGACCTGCGGCAGCTTCACTGAGAAGGATCAGGAAAGGGAGGATGATGGGGGCAGAGAGACAGCTACAAGGGCTGGACCAATGAGCAATATCAACCGGTCGCTGTCACATTCAAAGTAATCAGGGACAGGTCAGGATTGGTTGGCAAAGTGCCACATAAGTATACACACATGGCTACAGAGAAAGTGATGTTTAACATTGGGCGGAAACACAAGCAGAAGTGTCAGGAAAACATTTCCTCACCCATGACAGATCCAAGTATTATTCCGAAGCCAAGACCTTTGCTCAACACAATCTTCAGGCACTGCACTGTGAAATATACAGAGGTCCCAAGTGAAAATGTCACTCTAATTTTTCAGAGTACAATACAGTGATTTGTTTTATTTCATCAGAGTGCAGGATACTGCAAAATATTTCATTGATAGCATGTGTATTATATGAGATGGATTTAGATGGATAGCACATATTTGATATCTCCTGAAGGTAAACTGCTATAATATATAAAGGTAATACATGCAAAGTCATTAAAATCAGCAAAAGTCCCTGATTTTTCAGTCAGAACAATAGAGCAAACTAACATCAAATGAATGCAATGAATAAAATAAAACAGTTAAGTGGACAATGATAGACGCAAAATACGTCTTCGTTAATTTTAAGATATACTGACAGCACAATAAACCAGAACAGAACAGGGTAACTGTCCAGGAAGCAGAGATGAAAGTGATGCAATACCATTACCAGCTACAGGAGTGAAGGTTGTAAAGCAAAATCATACAAATGACTGTAACTGCACCAGCAGTAATTCCCTTCCAAATGATCTAACTTTTACCGGATAACACTGAAGTTCAACAAGGCATTTAATTTATGGACTGCCTATTAACTATGTATTAATAGCAGGACGAAAAGTTATCAGCTGTTTATTTAGGACCATAATTTTAAGGCTATTATATAAACGAGTCCCTTACCATGGAGAAAATTAAAGTTGAGAAAAAACTCGTCATAACAAGTCTCTGGCATGAAATACATAAGCAGAAATTCTTTCATTAATGCCATTGGAGAGGTCGCCATTGTGGAGGTATGACCGTCGTTTTGCTGCGCAGCGGCGAACCTCTAACTTCCGCGTATGACGGAGCGACAGCGAAACCACGTACTTCCGGAAACGTACTTCCGGAAAGGATTTATTACTGTAGATTATATATACTAGAAACCAGTGTTTGAAGTGGGCCGGTACCCACCAGGATATAGTACTAGCACCTCTTTGTTTTTCTCTTCAGAGTACCAGCGCCAGTTCCCCCCCCCCTTTAAGCATTTCTAGAAACCTAGTAATAGAACACACATTTTACAGGTATGAACGTATAAACATCATGGGATTATGACAAAGTTGCACATAATCAGGAAGGCTTGGTCGGTTCTAGGGAGGGAGCTGGACACTATTGATATTGTGGCAAAGAGAAGGATACTGCCCACACCGGTCGATTATAGACAACATCGTTCACCCGCTTCACAGTATTGTGGCTGGACAGAAGGGCACATTTAGCCGCTGATTCTCCAGCATTTCAACTGAGGTTGAGAACGTGGATTCGAATTGCAAATACATAGTTAATGGAGAATAAGTAAAAAGCGATTAGAAAACAAAAACGTTCTAAGCAACATTTGTTCCTTCTGACGATCCGTATAAGTATGGAAGTCTCACGGTATTAGTTGTATTCATTTAAAATAGAAGATGGTCTAGAAACATTAAAGTCTACAATAAAATCAGCGGAAGAACATGTACAACGGTGATTAAAAGTAATAACATAAGCTGAGCGATAAACTTGGAATTGCATGCTAACAGCGAAGAGCTAGCTGACTAGTTCACCTAGCCCTGTAGTGTTTTAACACATCTGAACCATAATGAGCACAACGCGTGCAGTCTGTACTGAGCCCCTGGAAGTCGGATCGGACATCGCAGGCGAACCGTACAGCATCTCGGTGTTAAAGGAGGGATATAGCCTAGCTCAGCCGGACGGCTCAACGCGTGCAGACGGCACAATCTCTCTATTGCAAGGACCCAAGATAATCCTAGTGGACACCGGAGGTCCGTGGGACCGCGATTTCCTTCTTGATCAGTTAAAGAAGAAGGGTCTTGACCCTGGCGACATTAATATAGTGGTGGGAACCCACGGACACTCGGATCATATCGGAAATTTGGGTCTCTTCCCGGAAGCTACACTAGTGGTTGGTTGCGATATGAGCCAGGGAGACCGATACCTCCCAAACCAGCTGGCAGAAGGTCGGCCTCATCCCATTGATGACCATGTGAGTTTGGCACATTATGTTAAACGATGTTGTGAAGCACTTTCTGTACTTTGCAATGGCCATTGATATATCTTCATTATATATTGCTATTAGTTAAACATTAACATTATAAATCCATGTGTCTAATCTTATGCGTTCGTTCCTCAGGTGTCTATACTACCCACTCCAGGGCACACAGGCCGGGATGTCAGCGTACTGGTGACAGGGACCTCCGTGGGCGTCGTCCTGGTGGCGGGAGACCTGTTTGAAAATAGCGCCGATGAGGACACCTGGCGGGAGCTGAGCGAGAACCCTGCAGTGCAGGAAGTGAGCCGGCAGGGGGCGCTGCGCACCGCCGATGTCATTATTCCGGGGCACGGGCCTCCGTTCAGGGTTCGCAGACACCCAATAAAAGGCATTTAAATGACGAGCTTACTTCTGCCTGTTATTCAGTTGATCTTCGCTTTACACCTTACATTTGAAGGAGGCAGTTCCAGCTGCAAGTTTTAACAGTTCACCGTTAGATGCTAATTAGCCTGGAGTGTCTGAATGGAATAAATTTCATTCAGTGGTGTGACATTATATGATATGCAGGAGGATGTAGCCTTCGATAACCTATAGCTTACTTTGGCCCTGAGGTTTAGGTTAGTCTTGAATTTTTGCATACATTTATTTTACTGTGTTCTCTCCTTATCCTTTCACAAATTGTCTACCACTCTAGTGGGATAGTATCAAAGACACAGGAGATGTAATATTAATCTTTGCACCATTTTCTCCTGTCAGGCTACTTGCCTTGGTAAGTCTGCCCTGTTCATACAATCCTTTATAATTGATCATATTGAGAACCAATTAAGGTAGAACTTATGGATGGGCTAACCTAGGTTGTAGCCAATGGCTCCATTTTTTTTTTCTGGGTGTGACAGCATCTGGTGCTGCCATCCATCGGAGACTCCCCCCCTTTTATGAACCTGGGGGCCGTGGCATCCCTTGTTTCTTCAGGCAGGGCTCCAACAATGACTTTGCCCGTGGGCATCCACCCTCCTGCATTCGGCCTCGTTCAGATGAGTGGGTGCTGCGGAAGACGGTCATAATTCACTCTGATCCAGATAAGAGACGATGACGAGGCAGGTGACCGCCATATAGTAACGGGTGCAACCATGTATGCATATGTGTTTTTTTATTTCTTCGTGCATGCTATCAGTGGAGAAGGTACCACAAGGTACTGAGTCATAAAACAGGGTGTTGGGATTGCATGGGGGGTTGTAAAAGCTGATTAGTCTTTTAGTCACTGTTTTATCTGCCCACTCGCCACTTTTTCCTCATTTTCAGTGCCCAAACCCTGAATATCCAGCCCATTGTCAGCCTCTTTTCATGATCTGATCATTTTTTGTTGTTGTTTGTCTGGTCCCCATTCTGATTCCATAATGGCCGCCTTTTGTTTCATGTCTTCACTGTTGCTTTTTCAAACTCCTCTCCTCTTTTGTTCCTTGAGTACAATCCTTCCCCCGATCCAGGTGCCATGTGGTTCTGTTGGCCCATGTCTTCTTCCTGCTTTTAAGGTGGTAGGCGATGAGTTGGTGTCATGTTTCAGTCTAACGGAGGCTGAAAACTAACCAGATTGTACGTTAAATCAGAAAGGAGATACAGAACTGCTGCCTGGACGGGGCGATAGGACGCCACATGTAATCGGCTTGGCCATAGTTTCTTGTGGATGGGAGTCCATCTTCCCCTTGTTTGTGTGGATGTTCGCCAATACTCTGGTTTCCTGCAGTTTAGGTGAGACGGCGCCATAGTGTGTATTTACCCTGTCAGGGACTCCAGGGTAAATACTTCATTCACTTCATTCACTTCCAGGGTGTGTCACGTCTTGGGATTCCCGGGAAACTCTAGGCTCGCTGTGACACTGCTTTGCTTCAGCGGTTATGGAAAATAGGTGGAGGGACTACATAGCTGTCTGGATGACTGTCAGAGGTTGCTGTTGAGATGGGGCGCGAGTAAGGGAAATCTCATTGGATGGTGACTCATCTCATGACCTTCTATTTGGTCATATTAGGCTTAAGGATAATATTAAATAATAAATAATATTAAAATGTCATACAAAATGTCATACACCTGGTTTTTTAAATGACTTTGTGTTGCAGGCATATTTCAACTGAAATTTTTTGGCAAATTATAAATGGCAGAATTTAAGTGTGATTTTACTTATTTAAGTATGTTAAAAGACGTACAACTGAGGATCTGGAACAACTGGGGTTAAGGGCTTTGCTTAAGAGCAGAATGGTGAAAATGTTTTTAAAAATTTGATTCATACAATGTAGTGTACATCACAACAGGGAAGTCGTAGTGATGACTACGGGATTTGAACCGTCAACCTTCTGTTCGTTTGTGGGCAGTGGTGTCTTAATGGTTAGGGAAGCGCACTTGTAATTGTAAGATTGCTGGTTTGAATCCCTGACCAGCAAGGCACCACTGAGGTACCCTGAGCAAGGTACCGCCCCCAAACACTGCTCCCCGGGCGCTGAATTAGCTGCCCCCTGCTATGTCACATATGGGTTAAATGCAGAGGACACATATTGTTGTTGTGCACTGTGTGCTGTGGTGTGTCAACAATGACCACTGATCACCTAAAAAAGGAAATTTGCAAATTCATAAACATAAAAGCATCAATAAAAGAGATTGGAAAAGGGCTTGCTGACTGTATTGTGCTCTGTGGTTGGTTGGCTAGAGCTCAGCAGCTTGTTCTCTTCATGGTTAATCATTGCCCTGCCATTAAGATGTCGCTCTTATCCCTTGACTGGTGACGTGTTTCTTCCCTCCTGTTTGCAACATCAGAGGATGTCCAGAGTTCATCGTAGATTGCGAGTACCCAAATGGCGTGAAAGCATATTTCTGAAGCTTATTTCCTGATCTCAGAATCTGTCCTGAAATAACCCAGATGAGATAAAAAAAAAAAAGTTCCGTGTGCCTCTATATTGATTGTTCAGGTATGGAATGTCAAGGCTACCGAAGAGTTGCTTAACTGTCGGAAAAAATTAGCACGGCAACTGTAATCTGATTTTCAGCACAAACCCACATTTAATCACCATAAATGTCACCTTCACTGGATGTTGAACCATTACTAACAGCACTTTATGTAATAATTCTTCTTTGCTTATACTTTATAATTGAAAATGACCGCTTCACCAAAACCTAATCTTATATTGGCTAGAGTTTGAATGCCAGTTTTCCAATACATGCCTTTAATTTTACTATGTAAAAGTAACTAAACTAATAGATGTAAGGAAACAGAACCCAGCCTGCTTTCTCTGTTTAAGCACAGAACACAAGGACCATGACCTATTAGTTTAGTTATAAAAAACAGATGAAAACTATTTGTGTTGCCGTCCTGTAAATATCGTGTCCCCTCTCTGTATTGGGTTTTACTTTCTTTTTTTTTTCTTTTTCAAACATAAACATTTTTATTCCATAAGTGTTAACAGTCTACCATTGATAAGACATTTTTCCAGTTATGGGATGGTCATCTAGTTCCTCCCACAACCGCCCACTCTTCACGTGTAGAATTATGGTTATATAAACAGACCCATCGCTGTTCTCCCTCATTAAAGTGAAGAGAGGAGAGGAAAAGGGACGGGATCGGAACGGAAAGCCATCCCACAACACATCAAAGCCTACAGGACCGTAGGTTCACCGAACATTTTAACCACACGGAAAAAATCGTCAAAGTAACTTCGGACAAGGAAGCGGGACCATGTGTACGGGAAAGTGTGCCAAGTGCATCGGGGTGATGCTGTACCCCTTAGCGCTCATCTCCATCGTCTGCAACATCATACTGTTCTTCCCAGACTGGAAAACCAAGTACGCCGAGGATGAGCGGGATGGCTTGGGTTCTCGCATCACAGAGGAAGTGAAATACATGGCAGGCGTTATTGGAGGGGGCATCATGGTGAGTTTAGACCAGCATTTTCCAGTACCTGGGGACCACAGGTAGTCCATGTTTTGGGAGCTGCGATTTCAGGAGCAGAAATGTGGACTGTCTGCGGGGGGGGGGAAAGCAGAGTCAGCCAATCCCTGAAACAATTGGGGGTTAGGGGCCTTGCTGTAAGGCCCAACGGTGAAATCTTTATGCTGAACCTGGGATTTGAACCAACAACCTTTCAGTTTTTGGAGCCACACACCACTGTAACTGTTCAACGTTAAGCTGGAGTCATGCTTTTTATTGATTGCATGACTTTCTTATATTTTGGTTAGTATGATTATTATATTCTGTTTAAATCTGAGTGCTGATGGGCCTCCTAATTTTCTGCTTTATATTGAAAACCTATGTAGTGTGATGCAAGGCAACATCCATGTCAATAGTGTAAAAATATCCACATGACTTGCTGTAAATATCTATATAAGCGCACAGAAATATATTGCCTGAGATAAGGCAAAGATGAAGTGACATAAATCTCTCTTTGCACTGGCCCCGGCCTTGCTGTAGGTGCTGATCCCAGCCATCCACATCCACCTGACGGGAAAGCAGGGCTGTTGTGCGAATCGCTGCGGGGTGAGTCGAAGACCTGTCGCCCGGGGGCTCGTTCGCCCAGATGCCGTCGCCCCGCCGAGACTGACTGGCCATTGTTCCTCCCTCTGTGTCTCCACAGATGTTTCTGTCCATCGGCTTTGCGGCAGTGGGGGTCGTGGGTGGTCTCTACTGCTTCGCCGTGTCCATCGTCGGTCTTATCAATGGGCCCATGTGTTATTACATGATTCCTGGCACCCTCAAATTTCAGTGGGGAACGCCATTTGTCAACAGGTAATAATCAACTTGACATTTAAATCCATCCATCCTCCAACCATGTATTCTGGTCTGCTTCATTGGGGAGTTATAGTATGAGAGATACAAGAACAAAATAATGTCCTCCGTAGAGGACAAAAATGAAATACTGGATCTTTGGATGATATAATAATGTATAAGACATAATACATAACAGTACAATAAATAATACTAAAATCTTAATACTTTACTTGAGAGGACACATAAATAATTTGATACATTATTGCAGCATTATTGTATTTTTTAATTATGCATTAATTAAGCACAAAGTCTTAGTAACAAACTGATCGCATGTTCGCTAATCAATAATGAATCCTGACATATTTTACGTCAAGCAATTACTGTATTTGTTACTATATCTGTAAATTCTGTAAACTTTTGTGAACTACTGAAGGAACAAGTCATGGTTAACACAAGTGAAATACTGATAACACTGGTAAAACGGTACTTTAGAACATTACAGTGTAATAAAATACATAATTTCACCACGCCGGTGGTGTGTTGTTCAGTGGGTTTGGGCTCTGTGTCTAGAAGGTTGTGAGTTTGAGTCCTGTAGCCCCAGCAGAGTAATTATTTCACCACTGGGCTATTGAGCAAGACTCATAAAGTCAAGGCACCCTACAACTGCAGGATGACTCCTGAGCTCATACCACAAACCTGCTATGTGAACACTACCCAATTTCCTGATGATTATGAATGAAATACTACTTTTCTATTCATGTGTCCTCCCACAGCACTGAGAGTTATCTGACTGACCAGGAAATGTGGAACATTTGTCTGGAACCCAAAGACGTGGTACAATTCAACGTGGGCCTCTTCTCCACCATGCTCATAGCTGGTGGTCTGGAAATTGTCCTCTGCACCATCCAGGTGGTCAACGGGCTGTTTGGGTGCCTCTGCGGGACGTGCAACAAGAATCAGGTGAGACCAGCGCCCCCGCTGCCATAGTGACCAAATATACCGAGCACCGAATCATGCCGTACACGTGCCCCGTAGAAAAGACTGGAACTATTTAATGGTCAAAATTTAATACAGTACAAAATCATCCTGATATACACTTACACTACACTAAAATACAGGGGAATATGAAAGAACTTTGATTAAAAAATCTTATTCCATGATAGCTAACCCACAGAAAAAAATAACCCGTACGTGCTTTATGATCTGTTTAAATACATATTATACTCAAAATGCATATGATAACAGTGTTATTCTGCAATCTGGTACAGTTTCTAAATGCTCTTACATGTTAAAGTGTGGGTATTTCCTGATTATAATACAACGAAAACAATCATTTGAAAAAAAAGATGCAGGAACATCCGAATAAGGTGATATGCTATATAACAGAGAACTCGCGTAACATTTCACTCTTCAACTATACCGAATAAAAAATATAATTAGATATCCGATATATTGACTGATTTCGCTGCGTAACTCAATGAACTCTAAACTGTGCATTTGCTTCCTGTCTCCCCAGTCATATTAATCAGAGCAGAGGTAATGGGAGAAGATAGAAGAATGCCCCTCGAGTACGATGGACTGACTGCGCCCTCTTGTGTCCACATAGGGCAACAGTTCTTAATAGACCACTAATGAAAACAGCTTTACGGGACCATTTTAAATGATCATTCCCAGTAAACACATACTACCTTGTCTAAGGATCTGTATTATTCCTAATTACTACTTGTGAGGGAATAGTATTTTACAAGTAATGTTTATAAAATGTTAATCACTTTGTTTTTATATGAAATGTTTATAGACTTTATACACTTTTTCATTGTTTTTTTTTGCACTGTCAATGAATGGTCTAACCATGACAGTGATTCTCGCTGATAAATATTAAATAAGGTGGTAAACTACTACACATTATTATACCTAAGGGAGGATGAAACCATGAAACAAAGTATCAGTAATTCTATTACTGGTACCCTTTTGCTACATTGTTTTAGCTTGAGCTGAATCTTGTGTCATGGAAATTTGACTCAGGTTTTCAAACCTGACAGTTTCTCTTTTGAAACAGATGAAGGTTTGCATCTTTCATGAACCTTGAAATCTTACAGTATGTAGCACAAAATATTTGCTTGGGACACGTCATCCAGAGTGAGTAAGTTATTATATGTAAAATTGTAAAATATTACTTTGACCAAATAAAATTCTTATTTTAAAAGGACTAAACCGTTCTCGGTAATATTAAAGCTTCCGTCAGTGATACATGTTCTGTCACATCTGCAGACACCTGAATCTTAGTGGCCTAAGACATAGGGGTAACACATAAAGCAGTCATCATAATGCATTATTAATACCTCCATAATGCATTATAATGCATCCATAAATTATTATAAACATGGCTATAAATATTTATAAAAAGGCATACCACATTATAGCCATGTGTATCATGCTTTAGAAATGCTATATATATATATATGTTTGCAACCTGTCTCAGCACTTCTTGCAAATCTCATGCCAGAGTGGCTGTTCGGCACTGCTACACCTTCACAATTAATTTAAATGGTTACAGAAAATGGACAATTTTACAGATGACTCAAATAACTTCTTTTGTATTCTCCTGTGGTAAAATTTATGAATAAATACTTGGGGTGTGAGGGATATTTTTTTTATATGTCATCCCGTGACTGTGAGATTCTAGGGGTTCATGGTTTCTGGACATGAATTGTCACAGTGAAACTGCTCAGTCTGCACAGTTGACATGGAAAAGAAACAGTAAGACACAAGCAACTGGGAAATGGTTAACAAATACCTTGAGACAACTGCAACATCCAAATGAGCTGTAATACAGTGTATGGTAATTAAAAAAAAAACTCTGCATAACTGCGTGACCATCAACCATCTGTAAACAGACATTGTCATTGGTCAAATGACCCAGAACAGAAAATATCAGGCAGGGCTTTTAGTGGTCGGGGGGGGGGGGGGGGCTTAAGAAAAGACAATAGGTGTAACATTTATATACGCACTAAACAAGCACGGGCTGGCCATTGGGAGTACTGGGAAATTTCAAAGCAGATCTCTAAAAATCTGTCGGTAAAACAAACTAGACATCTTAGTGTAAAATAAGCACAGAGTATGGTCCCGCTGGGGGCCAGGCAATCCTGTAGGTGACATAGGCGGTTGCCTAGGGTGCCACACTGGCTCGGACAGGTACTGGTCTTGCTCCTTGTCTCTGAGATTCTGGTAGACCAGGGTTATCCAAATCACGGTCCTCGAAGTCCGAGCACTGCTGGTTTTCCAGCCTTCCTTTACCTGTCAGTCAGGTGTGAAGCCTCTGGCCAATCAGAATCAGTAATTATTAAACTAACTACCTGGGAGAACTGAAAACAAGGCCTGGATTTGGAATCCAGGTCCAGATTTGAAGAACCCTGTGGTAGACAAATAAAGCACTGTGTATAGTTCAGATAAATAACTAGTTAATGTGTGTTAATTTGCAATCTATTTATCTCAGGTCTATAACATAATTTTTTTGGTGCCTATTATTATGTGTCACATTTTGAGCATTGCTTTGCCCAGTCTGAACCCCAGTACTCCCTAGTACTAACCCTACGGTAGACTATAATAAGACCACAGACCTTTTATTGTTATATATTTTGGGTGGTTCAGTGGATGGTGTTGTGACTTCCCTGGGTGTGTGTGTGTGTGCATGTGCAGTTTGCGATGGTGCATGTTTCTTCCCACAGCCCAAAGCCATGCCCTAATTGTGCAGAGGTGTGGCAGTGAGAAAGAGACACCCTGGCCTGAGATTTGTAAGAAGTGCTCAGACAGGTTGGAAACAAGACCACAGTTGTTTTAGGGTGTACTCACATTAGGTGAGCCGGACGGTGCCCGAGCAGGTACACTAAACTGTGCCTGGGCCTGCTGGAGGAGGTGGGCACGGTGTGATCGATACCCATGCCCGAGCACGGAACACAGACATGACCTCAACAATGCGACTGGCACATGCATGCACACATGAATATACATGAACCGGATCTGGAAGGAACGGATCGGAGAGGCTGTACAGATCAGGTAGCCACAGATATTTCACAAACAATAGTGGGGCCATATTTTGCATTTACAGAAAGTGCAACAATATATTTTTCGTGTGACTTTAAACATTTACATTGTATTTATGTAGCCAATGCTTACATTCAAAGCGACGTACATTTTTGGAAAGCAGGGTCAAACAGTCCCTGGAACAGTCAAGGGTTTGAGGTCTTGCTCAGGAGCCCAACAGCCTTGGGATTTAAACCCACGATCTTCCAATCACAGGCACAGCATCCTTACTTGCTGAGCCACACACAGCCACTATGGAACCCTTTATTGACAAACTTCTAAGTAGGGCTTTCAAATGGCAAAGCAGGGTCTAAGGGTGGCTAAGCTGGGGCCTGTTTTATGTAGTAGGATTTCTTGCTTAGTGGGATAGCATCGGATTTAAGGTACACCATGCAGTTTAAATGGACTTTATTTTTGTTCACTTACATTTAGCCCAGACTACCTTAAATCCGACAAGATTTCCAGCTCAGTAAGAATTCCTACCTTGTGATACAAGCCCATGTGCTCAGCCAATCATACAGAACACATTTTTCCATTATTTTATGTCCATTCTGATTAGAGATAATCGAAAAATTATTCATCTCCAATATGGCTGGGCAATATAAACGATATATAAAATTTAAGCGATAAGAAACCATTTTGCATAGCCCAGAGAGCCAGCAAACGTAGAGGATTCAAAGAAAAGGCTTAAGTCATCTTTTAAAATCTGGTGGTGATTGGTCACGAGATAGCGGTCTGGACAAAAATTTTCCCACAGATAAACACGGAATTTGGTTGATTTTCTGTCACTTGAAAGGTTGTAGTATTTGTCAAATATTATGACTGACTTACTACAAATGGGCTTCATCTAGTGTCAAACCCTACCACAAAAATAAATTTGATTCATTTATTAAAATTAGATTTAATGAAATTTGACACCTTTTTTCTGTGTTCTGAATCTGTCTGAGAGCAATTCCAAGGGAATTATAACCAAAAAAGGAGATTTGATGTAAAGAAATAATGAGCTGAATTTTATCGTGATATTTATCAGTACCGTCTGATATATAAAAAATCATGATAAAATGTTTCGTCATATAACCCAGCCCTTATCTCGGAAAAAAAATCAGTTTGTTCCCCCAAGGGAAGCCAGCCTAGTATCAGTTAACTGGTCTTGTTAAACAAAAGATAAAACCAGTACAAATTATGTTGTCTTCTATAATTGTTGAATTTACATACAATATATATAAGGGCCAGTGTGTGGCTTAGTGGTTTAGTGTCTTGGTGATTTGAAGGTTGCTGCTTCAAATTCCTGAGTCAGCAAGAGTGATTAAAGGCACATTCAGCAAAGCTCTTAACGTCCAATCGTTCTAGTGCCTTTTTGACCCTGCTTTCAGGTGTATGACGTTTTGGCTAAAAGCATCTGCCACAATAAAGTCGGCTTGCATCCCGCTGCCTGCCATAAACCGTTAATAACCCCTGTTCACCACTAGGTGGTGGCAGTAGCTTGTCCCACCAATGCTCACTTAAATGGCCACCGTATACCCGAGTTTAAGCTGACCTAAATAGATCTTTGTACCAGGCCTGTCTCTATAGAGGGGAGGAGGCCAGGGCGGGACAGCTTTTTCAGGGCCCCAGGTGCAGCCAACATAAACCAAGTAATGACTATCCTTGGTCATTGTAATACAGATGCAACTATAATGAACAATAACTCAGCAATTGTTGACGGAGACCCTGCAGTTTGACCTTTCATGTTTAGCTGATGTGAAACCATAGGGTGGCCAGGCAGCTGACATTAACCTGTAATCACATGTCAAAGACAGTATTTAGATTAAGTGTATTTCCAGTGTATATTTAATAGCGGCATAATGGTACACAAAAGTACCAGAGCTGGGGAAGTTACTCACAAAAATAATATATTACAGACAGAGGAGGAAAGTTCCGGTCCAGAAAGCATAAATCCAGACCAAGGTTTTGTTTCATCCAACCAGTTGAATACTCTGTGACTGTGATTCTGTATGCTCAACTGTTTGGTTGAAACAAGACTTTGGTCTGGATTTATGCTTTCTGGACCGGAACTTTCCTCCTCTGTCTGTAATGGATTATTGTTAACTTCCTCAACACTGCTTAGCACATTGAATGTGTTTCCAGCAGCATATCCAAGTTTGATGTAACAGGGCCGTTAGCCATTCGTCTGGGCTTATCAACCATTCCCTTTCCAGTGCTGGTATATTTTATTGAGAAACTGGAATGTTCCCAAACCGCCGATCATGACTGGCCGTAACCAGCGTTAGCGGTAAGCAACTCAATGCCACAATTAGCATCATGTTTTCTTTGTGGAACATACTTGTGAATTTAGGTTCCGCCCGTATCAATAAAGGCATTCATTCAATTAATTTTGCATACTGAACCGAAAATGATGTAGGCCTGCCGAATAAAGACCTGCATGAACAATAGGCAGGGCCGCTGCTGGCCAAATGGGTGCCCTAAGCAGAAATTTACTTTTGTGCCCCCTCCCCCAAATATTACGGAAGTAAAAATAAAATAATAAAAAAAAAACACCTACTATAGGGGCCAAAATAGAACTTTATTCAAATAAAAGTAAATACATAAATAAATTGTATCATTTATAAATTACAATTGTAGCTATACAGCAAAAAATACAAACTAAAATTACACTTTAAATAAAACATTTATAATAAATAAAATAAACAATAATAAACTGAAGTAAAATCAACACTGTCATCTGCTGGAGCTTCCCAAAGTTCAAAATTTACAAAGGCACACTTCTGCTTTTTCTTGAGGCAAAGTCGTAAATGAGCTCTTCATATGATAAAGCCTTTGCTAATTCAGAGTTGATGCTGACAATTGCCAGACCACTCATGCGCTCTTGTGCCATAGATGAGCGCAAGTACGTTTTGATGAGCTTCATTTTAGAAAAACTTCGCTCAGCAGAGGCGACAGTTACAGGGAGCGTCGCTGCTATGCGCAGAGCAATCCAGAGATTTGGGTACAACTTGTATATTTTTGTTTATTTGTATATGTATATTATTAATATTAATTTATTATTATAATATATAAAAACGATTTTTTTGAGCAGCTGGGATGGTGCCCCCCTGGGAGTTGGTGCCCTACGCAGACTGCGTACTCTGCGTATAGGGAGCGGCGGTACTGACAATAGGTGTATAGCCCTATTAGCCAAAAAGACGTATTCAGATGAGATGTGGCTGCATACAATCAATGGAAAAAAATAAATATTATTTTATCACTATTTAGGCATGTTGCCCTATTGAGCAGGACTCCTAGTGGACGGTACAACCAGTGTAGCTGCTTAATTTGTACATGAATAAATGCTTACTTTTATTAACGGCCTTACATTAACACTTTTTTATTGTGTTGTAAGGTGCTGCCTATTACAGACAAATTATCCCTTTTGTGTGAACAGAGATCACCAACATCAGGATATGGGCAAAGCAAATGATGTAACCCGTACTGGTTTACACATAAGTCCAGTAAACATGTAGCAATACTTCATAACAAATAAGGTTCGTCAGGGTCATACCAGAAACACGACGCACGTTCATTTTTAAAAAAATACGTCCAAGGGAACTTCCCATATAGTCAATAAGGAGTCTGTATTTCACACTTTAAATAATCGCTTTCAGGGAATGGTTATCTTACCCGGTCCTTCAAAACAACGTCTACATGTGAATAATAAAAGGCTATCATGAAAAAGCGACGCAATTTTGAAATTAAAAACGTAGCTGGATTGTGTAAGTATATAAACTATGATAAAGAAATCCATCGCGACATACGCGTGTGTTGTTCTAAGGGGGTAGACTTTCCTGAACAATGATGCTGTCTGTTTCACAGATTGTATCACTAATTTATTATTCTCTAAACACCAATGCTTTATTGTTGATCATATCATTTAATTTTGAGACGTAGCCATTGCATCGTGTGTGTCTCCTTTATAGTTCGTACAGAGAAGCAACCGGACATCGCTATTATAAACGTATAGGCTACAGGAACAATTTTAAATCAATTAAGCTCTTTATAAAAGCTATAGTTGCTGGTCAGTGTACATTGATTTAGTCCGAAGTGTATATCTAGAAATAAAAAACGCGATTTATTCAACAAAAAAAAGATCATAGTTTTATTGGTTGTTTCGGAACTTATTCCTAAATAAATGTCCAAATACCCAAACGCGTGGAAATCGACAGCCAAGATTTAATACGGCTTCCGCTTTAAGCGTGAATGTTTATGTTTATTACTGGTTTGCCTAGAGACAGAAGCATTAAGAGTTAAGTAATAGGCATGGAAGCGCCCAGAGTGAAACTGGAAAAGGGGTAACGGGAAAGCGCGCTCGCGGGAAATGCCACCACACACCTGTTTATTTAGACAATCTTGACTTGCTGCTTGAGAAGAGGTCTCGAAAACGGTTAGTACGGTAATTCGAGGATATTACTAGACACATATATAGGACTATAAGGATAACAGCTTGTGTTTGTGTCTGTGTGTGTGTGTGGGTAAAATTAAGGAGTAACACAGAGTTGAAGATAATCCATAAGAAACTGCGAGTGCAGGAAATGTCACAAAAACACTGTCACAAAAACACTGCACAACACTAACGCTTGTTATTAATGTTATTATTATGATCTGATTTATACAATACAAAATCAATAGTTTGGGCAGCTCAACTTGTTTCTTACAAATGTCTCGGAGAGCAAACATAACAAATTTGTGTAAATATAATTTAAATTGTCAGTTACCAATGGAAAAATAAATCCAATATTAGGAGATATTCACCCAGCCTTCCATCTTCAAAAAGTTTATCCAGGTAATACGGAAACAAATCTTTTTTTTCTTATAGTGCAATCCTGCAGATATGGTCGTTTTGTCTGGCTGGGACATTCGATCTATTCAATGCGATATATACTAACTCTATTGTTTCCCTCAAATAGTTTTTGAAATTGGATATCTATGGACGCCTTAACCGAAGCCGCCGCAGTTAATGCAGCCACGCCTGGCATGACGGCATGGGGGAATGAGGCCTGGCTTAACCTCACCGACGTGAACGGCACTAATCTGACGGAGAGCTGCGAGGCACACAGTGCGGATTTCCAGTACTTGATGCTGCCGATCGTCTACAGCATCGTTTTCGTGCTCTCTATGATCGGCAATCTCACCGCTCTGGCACATTTCCTGCACTCGCAGTCCGCCACGCAGCCCTCGCATGTTTTTCTGGTGAACCTGTGTGCCATCGACCTCCTTTTCACACTCACACTGCCCTTAAATGTGCTTTACCATGTGGGTCACAACCACTGGCCCTTCGGAGAGGAGGCGTGCAAAGTGAACGGGGCGCTCTTCTTCGGGAACCTGTACGGCAGCTCCCTCTTCCTGATGCTCATCTCGCTGGACCGCTACCTCGCCGTCGTGCACCCGCTGCGTGCCCTCCGGCTGCGCCACCCTAAATACCGGATCCTGCTATCTTGCGCGGTAAGGCTGTGCTGTTTTACTGCAATGTGTTTGGGTAAATGGGTGAACGCAAAGTATTTAGGGCACTGGTATGGAGTTTACTGCTGGATAATGCAAAACTGCTGTGGCTACCCACTGATGACACAAGATTGATGTTATCTGTATCTGTAGTGAGCATGTTTTCTGTTTATGTTTTGCATATCTACGCTCCGCTGAAGGTCTGGCTAGCTCTGATCTCAGTCATCCTCTACCTAACCCTACGGGTCCCTGCAACCCGGCCCTTCCCGTCTGGGCTCATCGCCTGCATGGAGAACTTCTCTTCGGACTCTTGGCACGGCCGCGTCTCCGCCGTCATCCTGCTGGCGAGCGTGCTGAGCTTCTTCCTGCCCCTGTCAGTCATCGCCACCTGCTACCCGCTCATCGCCTGCAGGCTGCTGAGCCGCCAGGCCGAGGACAGCGAGGCGGGGGGCGGAGTCTCGGCGCAGCGCGGCTCGCGGAGGATGCGCCGGCGGGCCCTGCGCATGGTGCTCCTAGTCCTGGCCGTCTTCCTGCTCTGCTTCACCCCGTATCACCTGAACCAGCTGCTGCACACGCTGGCCCGCATGGACGTCCTGGCCGGCTGCCCAATCCTCCGTTTCACCTACCCCATGCGCCGCATCACCATGGCGCTCTGTAGCTTTAATGCCTGCCTGGACCCGCTGGTGTACTGTCTGGCCTCCGAGAGCTTCCAGTGGAGACAGGCCTGGAGGTGCTGCAGATGTGACCGAGTGAGCAAGAGACTGAGACGGACGCTGGGCCGTGGCTAGAGGTGGCTGGGAGGCCTGCTAGAAGATGGCTTGCAGAATGAACATTATGCTGGTCCAGTGGCTGCTCTACGCACCGGGTTTCCAAAAGACACAGCGTTCCTCTTATGAAGAAGGATGCTTCCATCTGCATGGACAAAGCAAGACTAACCCAAGAGCTTGTAGTTCAATGATGATGAGATCAAAAGGGTCTGTCTCAAACCGGGGACCAGAAAATGAAAACAGAGCAGAGCCCCTACCGGTAATATGTGACATTATAAACAGATTAAGAACTATGGATGAGGGGAGGGTCCCATTTTGAATATTTCTCACTTTGGGGATGGTCCCAGTATGAGGCAGAAAATAATGTGGCTACGTTCTGAAGGATATTTAAAACTTTGTTTCGTTAAGAGAAAGAAATAAGAGTGGAGGAGAATACTGTGCTGATTATCTGGTGGCTGATAACCAGGGGCGTCGCAGGGACATGGAGATCCAGGCGGATTCGGGGGCCTGGCACTGTATAGGGGCCCCAAATGCAACTGTAACCCCCCCCCCCACCCCCAGCTAAGCAAAATATATTGTGAGGTCCAAGATGACATTTTTCTAGGCAGCCCAGAATTTCTAGCCGCACCCCGTGGAAGCATGAAAGCATCAACAACGAATTTTGTCAAGTTCTGCAAAATGTTCACGAAACAGGGGCATGGAACCCAGGTTGGAGACCCCTAATGTAAATGATGACTTAGTAAATAACATATTTTTCAGTTACTGCCTGTTAATACAGTGCTGTTGGTGAACTGATAGGATAGAAATACAATGACAGTTACACAATGGTAACAATCTTTGGGAAACCAAAGATTTTGAAAGTTAGTCAGGTATGACTTCCGTATTACGGATGGTTCCACCTTGAATATATATTTAAATTTACAGTTACTTCAGGCACTCCTGGGTGCTGAACATTAATTTGTAATTAGAATGTAGTTTTGTTCTAAATTAGGTTCAGATGAGAGCTAAAAGTGTAATAACATGTATATGATTACAAAATTATAGATGAACTCAAAAGTTAAATTTAGGATTACAGCTCATTTTCAGGATTAAGCAGCCAATGGAGTGCTGAATTAAGTACCTCTTATTTTCATTCATATTGAACACGGTGGTGCAGTGGTCAGTGGTGCAGTGGTCAGTGGTGCAGTGGTCAGTGGTGCAGTGCTCAGTGGTGCAGTGCTCAGCACTGCTGCTTCACACCTCTAGGATCAGGGTTTGAGCTTCTGCCTTGGCTCTGCATGTGTGGACTTTGCCTGGTCTCCCCTCTGTGTCCTCCCGGGTCTCCAGATGGGTGGTTGGATGGATGGTGCAATGTGTGTCCCCCTTTCGGTTGGAGTCTGTGGATGTCCCAGCAATAATCTTATGCATACATGCAACTACTTCTGCAGCAGCCAGTAGGGTTCTGGTTAAAGACGATGTTAGCTCAAGGGGATCTCGTGTAGTACTTTTGCACAAGTAATATTTCTGACTCTATAAATAAATAAAAATCATATGCCTCTTTTGATACAAGAAACTTAATACTGTATGAAGATATTTTGTTTACACGTTTATATTGGACTTACTAACCCAAAACCTGGCTTAGTATTTGTTTTGTATATGTATAAAAAACAGCATCCATTTCATGGTGTGTCCCAGCCTTGTGTTCTGTGCTGCCAGGGATCAGCTCCAGGCCCCCTGTGACCCCTGACCCCGACGATCAGTTAGAAAATGGATGGTAAGATGGATAAAGGTATTGAAGCAAACACATGGCCACTTAGTCAAATTATGAAATTAACTCCTCCCCTTTGAAATGCTTGCTCCTGACCAGGCATGTAGCCAGATGTTAAAATGAGAGGTTTAGACTCCGCCAAAATTCACCCATACTCCAGCAGTTCACTGGGAGGGCCCAATGAGTAGGGCTGCCGGTCCACCCTCGATCCCCGGCCCTGTTTCTGGCTACGAGCCGAGCATGAAGTGATGACCTCGACGCTTTTTAACCTCTTTTTGTGGTGGGCGAGCTGCATTTCATTTTCACACAGAAACATAAACTTGAGAGATATTTTCGACTTCCTACAAGTGTTGTGTCAAATCAGGTTTGTTTCGTAGTCAGATTTTAAACAGGGCTTTTACGCAAAGAGAAGCACCCTCTAGTGTTTGATACATGCATGCAATTTCTTAGACAAAGCCAGCATACAACCATCAAAGCTTAATTTTTGCTACTTTTATTTTTATAAGACAAACACTATTTATAGAATGTACAGCAATTGCCTTTCTGAGAATTTGTAGTTGGTGAGATTCGTGAGAGTTTCAAATTGACTGATCAACACCAAATTCTTGTTTTGAGTCATATTTTATCTTGGTCTGATTTTGAGAACTTTCTTGTGTTTCTCGTGTTAACATATAGTTCTGTCTTGTACAATAAGCACTGAGGCCTGTTTTATTTCTCTAGGGTGCTGCTCCTGTGCCAAGTTCTTCTCATTTAGTTTCGTGAAACCATTAAAATTTAAATGATCTAACTGTATTCTCCAGTTAGATGAAAGTAACTCTGGTGAACGAACTTTCCCCAGTTCTTGGCTCACTGTGATGCTGTACTGGGCAGATATGTAGCTGATCTGTGCACGTTCTCTGTGTAAATTTGAATGTTTAGCAACAGCTGCGAGGAGAAACAGCCCATTTAACACCCACAACATCATCTTGCTGTGCACGTTTTGAAAACGAGGAAAGCGTTTTGGTTCTGCGTGGTCTGGCGGTGGAGATGACGCAAGAATGCAAGTGGTCTAGAAACATGTGTTTGTGAGCATCTGACAGGAGGCTCCTTTAGTTTGCATCAGGGTTAGAGAAGGTCCCGAGTATCTGTCATACAAACACTGATGGGGGTTGTCATGGTTGCGGCGCAGTCTATGTGATGACTGAAACTTGGACTATTTTGAATAATTGCCATACTTCTGTGGCCCAAAGATGTCGTTCTCCCGTATGCATTTTTCAGTATGTTTTGTCTATTTTCGTAAGTTTTACAGTACAGTTGTTTTTCTTCTGTAGAGAAGTGGCAACTTCTGCATTTTGCTTTGCGGTTATGAAGTAATAAACACATCTGGTTCAGCACATCCACTTGTGATATTAAAATGCTCCCAGCCTCCAACCCCAAGTTTAGGTTTCATTATATTCAAATATTTGATATTCAAATTTCAGACATTCCCCAGATTCTTACTTGCTCTTGAAGCAGTAGTTACCTGTTTAAAAAAGGAAGCTGGTTTAGCTTTTTATATATCCTTGTACAGTGGTATTTAACCACAACCACAAGCCAAGTGTCACTTTTGTACAATAACTATAGTAGACAGTGTTTTAATTTCGTTAAAGATTTTTCCTTCTTTGCACCTTAAATTCAATGGTGCAGTGACTGGGTTTTACTACGCGTGCCCATTGATTATCCAGCATTGTAGGACACTGACATAGCTGTGATGTGTGCATGATTCCTATTTTTATGAAAGTATGTGAATATATATAAGTACTAGTAAGTAAAACTACAATGACAAAACAAATAAGCATGCTTTATTTGCCATTTGCACAGGTACATTGGAATGCTTGTCTTTGCCGACCCCGTCTTAGTCTCCATAGCTTGGGGGGGGGGGGGTCTTATAACACGGTCAGCTAACATGCAGCCCCCCTGGAGCTGGGGGTTAAGGGCCTCGTTCAGGGGCCACTCGCCACAGCAAAATCCATAAAACTTCCTTACCTAAAATTCCGCTCCAGCTCCCGGGTCTCCAGATGGGTGGTTGGATGGATGGTGCAACGTGTGTCCCCCTTTCGGTTGGAGTCTGTGGATGTCCCAGCAATAATCTTATGCATACATGCAACTACTTCTGCAGCAGCCAGTAGGGTTCTGGTTAAAGACATGGAACCCCAGTCTCTCATTGTCTCTTGTTCAGTGATGGATCATTTTTTTCCCTCTTTACACTCTCAGTTCCTCTCCGTCTGATGTCTGCTAGTTTTTTTTTCCACACAAACACGACAATGGAAAAAGAACGGTCCCAGGATGCTTTGGGGTAGCCGTGGGTCTCGCAAAGTGTACCACTGAACTGATTACCAACTGATATAGGGTTCAGTTGGGGTTAGGGTTAGGGTCACCAACATGTCCTAAAACACTGAAGACTTCTCCTACTTAGTTCTCTTTAGTTACACGTGAAAATCCTAAGACTTTCATTTGTACCTTGTCCAGAAAGTTAAGCTTTTTCGTCCTCTGTGATTTTAATGACTTTTATTTAAATGTATCCTTCTGTCTGTGTAAAGCACATTGAATTGCCTTGCGTCTGAATTGTGCTGTATAGATTGACTTGCCTCGCCTTCACAATAAATACGATGTGTCTGCTGTGCAGTATTTGTTGCACAGAAAAGCCGGTGGGATGTGGTTGTGAAACCCACTTGTAGATCTTTTGACACATTGTGCCATATTTTATCTCCATATCTAGAAATATGGAACTGCCATTATAATGCCAGTTCAAAGAATTTAACATACTGAATAGAGTTTATAAGGCGAACCACGGGTCCAAGAATTGTGGTAGAAGTGTTCGGTCCTTAAAGAGGTGACAGGTGTCTCCTCATGGGGTGAACCTGGTCTGTCGAAGTTCACACATCGAAATTTAGCAAAACAGAAAAGGTGAGTTTATATGAACCACAACAGATAAGACCCTAAAATGAATATACAAATATAAAAACAACACAGGTGCTGCAAGCAAAGTCGTCATCGACTGAAGATATGATCATTACGTGGCTGGTGAATGTGCAAGGCCTGGTGTTTTTTAGACCAGTAAAATTCCCCGGTACTTCAACCTGCAGGCAGGAAGACCAGATGGTAATGTGATCAGTTAGTCACATTCTTCAAAAGTCTGAGACGTTTGCTTGCAGTCCCAGATGCAGGCCTTACGGTACTGAATGCCCCGTGTAATTAGATAACCAACTAAAGATAAACACTGACAGTCAACATGCAATCTGGTGCAAGGCTGTCAATCTACAGGAGGTAACGGGGTTTGAATTATGCATTTAATTGTTGTAAGCGTTTCTCTTTGCAAATGTCACTGCCTTGATAGTAATCTAGCTCTTTATCGCTTTGTGAAAAATTCACTGCTTGTTTGTGGATTTTCTAGGAACTGAATCTGCAAGAAATAATGTGCACAGTCCGAGAGATTTTTTTGTCTTTTATCTGAGAGATAAATACATTTTTCATGCTAAAGAAACATAAGCCATGATGATACTAAGGACAGGATATTTCACATACGCTCATGAAGAAATAGGAAAGGCAAGTGTATCTGTCGCTGTACTATTATTTTCACTTCCACCTGCTTTACATAAAAACAGCTTGACCATCTTCCTCATTCAGCTCTGAAAGCAGAAAATAGCTGCTTGCCCATACAGACATAAAGGAGTTCAGACAGCATCTGTGCAAAACTATGCGTTGGGTTAAAAAGAGACCCCTGGTTTTGTGAAAAGAAGCTGTCACATACACAAAAATTAACAACGGTGTAGCTACAGAGAAAGATAATCCTACACACGGCACACATGTCCAGGTTAATCACTGTTAGCTACAGACTTTGCCCACTTGCAAACTTCATCTAAAGAAAATGCTGTTTGGCCACAGTGTGCAAACTGTTTGGCGTATATTTAAGGAGTACCTATAAGCATCAGTTTGAGGGTGAGACTGAGGAGTCATTTTGTGTGTGAGAAGCTTTATATGTGTGCACAACTGCTGATGTGAGTATGAGTGAGTACGAATGTTTGTGAGAGACGTCATTCTCTGTGTGCGGCTGTGTGTGCATGGCTGCTGGTGTGGGTGGACGTGCGCATGTTGGAGCCAATATCGCGATGGAGGAAGAAAACAGGCGGCGGCGCGTGGCTGAGTCTGCAGCTTAACACGCCGCTGCTGAGTCAAATGTTACAGATGCAAGAGAAAAACTACTTAAAGGTGAACGTGAAAATAAGCTAAAGAGCCCGCAAATCTCAAGGATTCCCCCCCGTTTTTTCATATATGTGTTGCCATATAGCCCAAATTTGAATATTTCAACAGCTTCACCGGGAGCAATATCGATCAAATGCTAAATACATCCTAATTTTCATCTCCTGGACTACAAGCGCACCCAGAACTTGCAGTAAGAAATCAGGTAAGCGCTCTTTTGCTATTATAAGTTTAACATTTATTTGCACGGTGTTGTCTAACTTCAGCGCAACGTAAAGCAAACCTTGCCAGTGCAACATATAAAATTGCGTGAATGTGCATATGTGCTGGCAGCACTGACAGTAGCAGGCGTGCGAAACATTCACATGCTCATACTCAATGTTGTCTTCTCCGGGATAATAGAAATGTTCTGAATCTGAATTGTTATTAAAACTCATTTCAAACCTTTTCTCCATTTGAGGTTTTCCGCGTAATTTGAAAATCAAAGTGCTAGGATATACTAAACTAAAACAAATTATTATAATAATTGGTTTATTAAAAGGTAGGGATAGTAACATTAAAAGAGAAATAAGACAATAATGTAACCTTTTTAAAATAACTTTTAATTTGAATGGAGTGTTGTTTGAAGACTCACCGCTGTTTTTACTGTGGGAGGTACATAGTAGATTGTCACAAGCGATGTCATGATTGCCAGATTTCGCCGCAGAATGTAAACACTTTTTTTGGGGGCTTTCCAGTTTATGTTAGATGAGTATGCGCTTATACGCCGAAACATTATTGTCTTTCAGTTCGAAAGACCGAAACAGGCTGAAAATGTGGTCGCACGTTCCAAAACTAGTATTAATTGTAAAGAGTCAGTACAAATTCAAAACAATAATAAATGAATACTTACTTAACATCTGAACATGTTCCAGAGACGGTTATGCTTTATCACTGGGTATCTGTGACCTTTAGAAGGATCCTACAGCAACCAAAATACTATCAGAAACCAGGTGTAGGCAGCGACACTTTTTCCACACGGTAGCTTATACGTAATATGACAAATCACAGTCCCCACAATGTATAATGATGGCGCGAGCTTGGTCAGTCTTCCACATCACACCTAGACATACTGTAGGGAATGTTGTGAAGGCGAGTCACCCAAAAGAGGAATGTGTGTGCCACTTCATTCACATGTTAGTGAGAAAAAGTGACTTGGGAAAAAAACCACTCTAATGAAAAAAACAGAAAATTAAACTCGTACTTAACCCATCCATTGATCCAACGGTGCATCTATGCAGTGACAGGTCGCTTTGAATAATGGCAAAAATAATAAAAATCAACATTTTAGACAAGCGTTTACTTCTAAAAGATAGTAAACCAAACCCCAAAGTTGAAATGAAAAGCTTGGAAGAAGAAATACTCAGGAGGAGAAGCTCGTGTCCTTCATAGATAGCTGAACCAAAAATTGACAGCAATTTAAGCTGGATCCTTTGAGAGTGTAAAGGCCCTGAAAAAGAGTAATATTGTGCTAGCTGAACCGAGCTGTTACGTTCGGCGTGCGGGCGAACGGGGAAGTAGGCGAGAGAGCCGCGAATACTGTAACACGGGGTTTTATTCAGGGCAGACAGGCGACGAACATCAAACATTACAATGACTGATCTGGGAAACAGAGGAAGACGCGGACTAATATACACCAGACTAGCCAGAAATAACAGGGAATCACAATCGGGAATTAACACGAGGTAACGAGGGGGGCGTGGCACACACGAGGATCGGACGAGCTGGGCGTAACACGAGCCTTGATCGTGCTAGCTGAACCGAGCCATAACCATACTAGCTGAACCGAGCCTTGACCGTGCTAGTTGAACCGAGCCTTGACCGTGCTAGTTGAACCGAGCCTTGACCATACTAGCTGAACCGTGCCTTGACTGTGCTAGTTGAACCGAGCCTTGACCGTGCTAGTTGAACCGAGCCTTGACCGTGCTGGCTGAACCGAGCCTTGACCGTGCTGGCTGAACCGAGCCTTGACCATACTAGCTGAACCGTGCCTTGACCGTGCTAGTTGAACCGAGCCTTGACCGTGCTAGTTGAACCGAGCCATGACCGTGCTAATTGAACCAAGCCTTGACTGTGCTAGTTGAACCGAGCCTTAACCGTGCTAGCTGAACCGAGCCTTGACCGTGCTAGTTGAACCGAGCCTTGACCGTACTAGCTGAACCGAGCCTTGACCGTGCTGGCTAAACAGAGCCTTGACCGTGCTAGCTGAACCGAGCCTTGACCGTGCTAGCTGAACCGAGCCTTGACCGTGCTAGCTGAACCGAGCCTTGACCGTACTAACTGAACCGGGCCTTGACCGTGCTAGCTGAACCGGGCCTTGACCGTGCTAGCTGAACCGAGCCTTGACCGTACTAGCTGAACCGAGCCTTGACCGTACTAGCTGAACCGTGCCTTGACCGTGCTAGTTGAACCGAGCCTTGACCGTGCTAGTTGAACCGAGCCATGACCGTGCTAGTTGAACCGAGCCTTGACCGTGCTAGCTGAACCGAGCCTTGACCGTGCTAGCTGAACCGGGCCTTCACCGTGCTAGCTGAACCGAGCCTTGACCGTGCTAGTTGAACCGAGCCTTGACCGTGCTAGCTGAACCGGGCCTTGACCGTGCTGGCTTAACCAAGCCTTGACCGTGCTAGCTGAACCGAGCCTTGACCGTACTAGCTAAACTGTTTCACACTATCATTACTAAGTTGGACACTACCACAGATTTCACATGTCCACTTGTAATGCGGCAGCACATGTGGGCCCACCAGGTCTGTCGTCCCCCCAGGTAGAACTCAGCCCCCCTTTCAGCATTCAGAGATAGCCATACAAAACAATTGCGTCTGACAGGTGTTTTTGTGTGCGGTTAGATCAATTGGAGGAAGAGTGCTGTTGAGAGGCAAACAGAGTTTCCTTTCCCTTTGTTCATTTGGTCTTAGTAATGCCACGGGTCACTTTAAGACTGATCAAAAAAATATGTAGTGGAGTCTGTAGTGTGACTTTGCTGCCGAGTGAATTTTTATGAGACTGTGGAGATGTTTGACACAATAAGCAGTATTTGATTATGCAGAGTGCAACCTTTCTCCGTTTATTAATGATTCACAACCATAGTCCAGCACCCTGAAGTATGAAGACTGGGGGTGAAGCCTGGTATGGGCCTAATATTAATATCAAAACCATGTGTACTAAGTATTTTAATAAGCATAATAAGTATTTTATCATTTGCAGCTTGCTAGACACATTCTCAGTGGGCGGAATGCCTAACTGTGCACAGCCCTGCAAGTCGGGCCCTACAGAGTTACAGTATGTCAGATAACGTCCCAAAAGCAGACATGCAGGACGTGTTTATTTGCGATGTCTGCTGCAGTGAAACAAAACAACATCAGCAAGAGAGGAAAGCAAAACACAAACTGGAAAAAACACCAAGAACTCTCCAGTACAAAACAGTCATCTTAAATATTACTTTAAGCTTTACTTTAACGTTTTAGTACATTATTAATTTTTGTTCCCCAGATATTTAACTGAATGGTCTTTGTTTTGTTTAATTTAACCAGTATGAACAGTATCTGTCTCTGAAGCCATCGGTATTGCTTGCAGCAGGCTTGACATATATATCAGGTTTTTTTTATCACAGCTCTGCTGTGTGGTTAGATGCAGCAACCCTGTGGATGCAGACATAAGTGTCTTACTAACATCACTTACAGGAACAGCCCACATTTAGTGCATTTTGTGTGTGTGTGTGTGTGTGTGTGTGTGTG